GGAAGAAATTAAAAACTTCCTGGAATCCAATAAAAATGAACACACAACAACACAAAATCTCTGGGATGCAGCAAAAGCAGTTCTGAGAGCGAAGTTCATAGCACTACAGGCCTACCTCAAGAAACAAGAAAAATTTCTAATTGACTGTCTAACCTCACAACTTAAAGAATTAGAAAGCAAACAAAAACAAAATCCCAGAGCAAGTGGAAGGAAGGAAATAGTAAAGGCCAGAGCAAAAATAAAAGACATAGAACAAAAGAACAATTCAAAGGATCAATGAAACAAAGAGCTGGTTTTTCGAAAAGATAAACAAGATTGATGGACCCTTAGCTAGACTCACCAAGAAACAAAGAGAGAGAACCCAAATGCACAAAATCAGAAATGAAAGATAAGTAACAACCGACACCACAGAAATACAAAAGATCGTTAACAGCTACTATGAACAACTATATGGCAACAAATTAGACAATTTAAGCAAAATGGACAAATTTCTAGAAACACACAATCTCCCAAAACTAGACCAGAAAGAGAGAGAAAATTTGAACAGACCAATAACAACTAAGGAAATTGAAGAGGTAATCAAGACTCTCCCAGCAAACAAAAGCCCAGGCCCAGATGGCTTCACGGGGGAGTTTTACTGAACATTCAAAAAAGAACTAACACCCATTCTCCTCAAACTATTTCAAAAAATTCAAGAAGAAAGACTTCCAAACCCGTTCTATGAGGCCAGCATAATTCTAATTCCAAAACCAGAAAAAGACGCGACAAAGAAAGAAAACTACAGGCCAATATTCCTGATGAACATAGATGCCAAAATCCTCAACAAAATACTAGCAAATCGGATCCAGCAATATATCAAAAAAATTATTCACCATGACCAAGTGAGATTCATTCCGGGGATGCAAGGCTGGTACAATATTCGCAAATCAATAAATGTGATACACCACATAAACAAAATGAAGAATAAAAACCACATGATCATATCAATAGACGCTGAAAAAGCATTCAACAAAATCCAGCATCCATTTCTGATAAAAACACTCAGCAATGTGGGAATAGAGGAATCATATCTTGACATAATAAAGGCCATATATGAAAGACCTACAGCCAACATCATACTCAATGGACAGAAACTAAAAACATTTCCCTTAAGAACAGGAACAGGACAGGGATGTCCACTTTCGCCACTCTTATTTAACATAGTACTGGAAGTCTTAGCCACAGCAATCAGACAGGAAGAAAAAATAAAAGGGATCCAAATTGGGAAAAAGGAAGTGAAACTGTCATTATTTTCAGATGACATGATATTATACATAGAAAACCCTGAAGACTCCATCAAAAATCTACTAGACTTAATAAATGCATTTGGCAAAGTAGCAGGATACAAAATTAACGTCAAGAAATCGACAGCATTTGTATACACCAATAATGAACTCACAGAAAGAGAAACTGAAAAAACAATCCCATTCAACATTGCGCCAAAAAAATTACGATACCTAGGAATAAACTTAACCAAAGAAGTAAAGGACCTATTTGCAGAAAACTACAGGACATTGAAAAAAGAAATAGAGGAAGATATAAAAATGTGGAAGCACTTCCCTGTTCATGGATTGGAAGAATTAACATCATTAAAATATCCATACTACCCAAAGCAATCTATAGATTCAATGCAATCCCCATCAAAATACCAACAACATACTTCACAGAACTAGAACAAATACTTCAGAAGTTCATATGGAACCAAAAAAATCCCCAAATAGCGACAACAATTTTGAAAAAGAAGGATAAAGTAGGTGGGATCACAATATCAGATATCAGGTTATACTATAAAACGACTGTAATCAAAACAGCCTGGTACTGGCACAAGAACAGGCAATATAGACCAGTGGAACAGAACTAAGAACCCAGAAATGGACCCAAGGCAATATGCTCAATTAATATTTGACAAAGGTGGCAAGAGCATACAGTGGAGTAAAGACAGCCTCTTTAATAAATGGTGTTGGGAAAATGGGACAGCTATATGCAAAAAAAATGAAACTATACCATCAACTTACACCATACACAAAAATAAACTCAAAATGGATAAAAGACTTAAATGTCACCCCTGAATCCATAAAAATTCTAGAAGAAAATGTAGGCATCAAAATTTCGGACATCATACAAAGCAGAATTTTCAGATACATCACCTAAGGCAACAGAAACAAAGGAAAAATGAACACATGGGACTACATCAAACTAAAAAGCTTCTGCACAGCAAAAGAAACAATCATCAAAATCGAAAGGCAACCCACTGTATGGGAGAACATCACTGCCAATGATACATCAGATAAGGGGTTAATTTCCAAAATATATAGAGAACTCATACAACTCAACAAAAGGAAGACAAAGAACCCAATTAAAAAATGGGCAGAGGAGCTGAATAGACACGTCTCCAAACAGGACATTCAAATGGCCAAGAGACATATGAAGAAATGCTCAACATCACTAATCATCAGAGAGACGCAAATTAAAACAACAATGAGGTTATCACCTCACACCTGTCAGAATGGCCGCCATCAACAAATCATCAAACAACAAGTGTTGGGGAGGGTGTGGAGAAAATGGGACTCTAATACACTGCTGGTGGGAATGCAGACTGGTACAGCCACTATTGAAAACAATATGGTGTTACCTCAAAAAATTAAAAATTGCACTTCCATTTGACCCAGTGATCCCACTTCTAGGAATATATCCTAAGAAACCTGAAACACCAATCAGGAAGAATATATGTACCCCCATGTTTATAGCAGCACTATTTACAATAGCTAAGATCTGGGAACAGCCCAAGTGTCCATCAGTAGATGAATGGATAAAAAAGCAGTGGTACAAATACACAATGGAATACTATGTAGCTGTAAGAAAGAAAGATCTCTTATCCTTTGAGACAACATGGAGGGACCTGGAAAGTATTATCCTAAGTGAAACAAGCCAAGCAGAAAAAGACAAATACCACATGATCTCACTTATATACAGAATATAATGAACGTAACAATCTGAGGAATACGGTAGACCCAGAAACATGGAAGTAGGGTACAGATTGACAACCCTCAGAAGGGGGTGGGAAGAGATAAACCACAGAACTTAAATGCATGTATGCATAACCAATGGACATGGACAACAAAGCTGGGGACGGGGCGGGGTGGATGGGGAGGGGGGTGCCAATGGGGTAAAAAAGGAGAAACATCTGTAACGAAAATAAAATTTTTTAAATAAATTAATTTAAAAAAAAATGAAATACCAGTACTAATTCCTAGTTTCTGTTATTTTTCAAAATAGTAGTACTGAGTGACATTTTGCTCTTATAGTACCATTATCACACACATCCTTTGTGCCCTTCTTCCCAAAATATTATTTCATTCTTTAATAGCTAACTAATCATCCTATTTTTAACCTGTTAACTGGGGAACAACCGGGGAATTCCCTTTTCACTGTATGCAACATTTGACGTATTTATATGTCCCGCTCAGTTAACAGGTTAAACACAACTGCAGCACCCCCCACCCCTTTTGGGCAGCCCTCGGCCCTAGACTTTGATAAAAACACCCCTCCTGTCCCCAGAGCACTATGTCACCCTCTCTCCATACACTTTGCACCTCAAACTATAATTACATGATCTCCATGAGTCAGAGACCACATTTTGATTGCATACACCCACTAATATGGCATCTGCCACACAACAGGTGTTCTGTGAAGGTTCACTGAGTTAATGACTTGTCCTCCAATAAATAAATTGCTTTCTCCTTGGTTGGCAGAACTAGATTTCCAGGAAACATGTTAATGATACCTCCCTCACTACCCTTCCCCCAAACCACTCTTCTGAATGATACTGAATACTGTAACCAATCTAAGTTCAACTAATTTCGTTTGCTCTTTTATTCCAAGTTATCGAAAAACATCAAATAAAGCTGGGCCAGAAATACCAGCCAAATAGATGAAACAGCCCCATCCCTTTCTCATTAAATTTGTCTTCAGGTCCAATTCTGTGAATTTCCTCAATATGCAAACAGTGACTTGGCATTCACTCTTGCCAAGCACCCTTGGCCCAATCCAACACTTGCTGTACTCACTGGCCTGCACTCTAAGCTTCCACTAGGGCCTGACGGAGGAGAGGTTAAAGGGAGACTGCAACAACTGAAGCTATGAGGCCTGCTCTTGGGCTCTAGATGTGGTGAACTCTTTGGGCAATACTGTGCCAACTCCCTCACCTGCTAGCTGCATCCCTGAAGTGCTGTATGGTAAAAATACCAGATCCATGTACATCTAAGTGATGTAAATTTTTCACTGGTTTCTATAATAGCTTTATTAAAAACACCCAGCACCCCCAGGCAGCAAACCAGGTACCAACTTTCTATCCCCAGGCAGCAAACCAGGTCACACTCACCTCCCGTTCCCTCATCCCCAACCCCTTGGCTGGCCAACTTGGCTTCCCTCTCAGGTTTTTATTGTCTGGTTACAAATTACTAGACAATAGTAAGCTTTTTTCTGGTGTTGCTCAGTAATGCCTGTACTTATTTTCTTTTTACAATTGACCCCTCTTCACCCATTCCCTCTCAAGTATTTCTGATCTTCAGTTCTACCTGTGGCAAACTCAAGAAGTCTAGCTATTCTCACTTTGTGTTGATCTTTTTCTGTATGATGTTGCCTCCCTGTGTAAACTGTGAACCCCGTGATAACAAAGGTACGTGATATGTCTTATATGAGTCTCCCCACCCTGGAAATCTCATCTTGAGGCAGCAATTATCACGCTGGATAAAAGTCTCACACTCTGCTTGCTGTATCGTGTGAACAGTGACCGAGCTGTCAAAAAAAGTAAGTGGAAAAAAGAAAGCTGGAGAAAATTCAAAACAACAGGGCTGAAGGCAGGTGTCACACAGTGGTATGTCAATTCTACAATGCCTGTTTAATTGAAACCTTGTAATAAAAGTTTAAATACATAAAATGTTGTAGGTTGTTGTTGCTGGTTTTTTGTTTTTGTTTTTTTTTATCAAAAAGAACATCCCTCACCTCCCCAGCCTGTGTACATGGAGGAGGGGCAGGAAATGAACTATCTATAGGGAATGGAGAAATGGCAGGTCCAACTCGGTTGGCTTCATCTTCCTCAAAAATGCTCTGTGAGTTCAGAGTCTCAGGTGAATGAGAACCCTACCCCACACGGGCTTTCTTCAAGTAACTGGAGTCCACAGAAGGCAATCTGTACCATGGAGAATGCTCCTCCTGGCTTTCAGAAGACAAGGAAAAGCAGAGCTTCGTTTCTGGGCAGCACTAAGTTCTCGACGGTGCGTTCCATGGAGTGCACCTGCTCAGGGGAGGCAGTCAAGAAGGTCAAAGGCCCGATGCGCTGTTCTGCACAGGAGTGGCAGAGATAGCCACCCTTATTTTCCTTTCTGTTACTCTGCAGTGAGGGATGAGAAAAAGAGGGAAGGGGAACAATCAAAGAACAAGGATTTTCTACCAAGCAGTGCTGACTTGCTGTTGCACTGCCAAGGGACTATGCGTTATTATTCTGATATTTTCAGACTTGTGCAAACCTCTGAGGTAATACTTTCCACTGCATGGTCCTCTAGGGTAGACTCAACTCTATCAAATTCCCTTACAGCAGAAACCCAACTTTATTAAGGCGAGGGATGAAGAGCCAAGAACAAGTTAACCAGGCCCTCCAGGTAAGCAGTCCTCCTTGGAGTGTCGGTCACACCCACCTCCCAGCCGATGCTACCCACACTGATTATGTCGTTACCATTGTTCTGACACAGAGGCAGATCTGGCATCTCTTGTGCCTTATATGTGAAAAGCTCATAAGGACTGTACAAATTTCTCTTTTATCTCCCTCACCCACAGCCCAGAAATCCTATAGCTCACATGCAATAAAACACACACAATTGAATTAGATCCTATAGAAAGCCACAGTGGCAGCCAAGACCACATACATAAGTGATGGGGAGCTTCTTCAGGGTGAGCACAGTGTCCACTGGGATGGTGTTGTTGCACTGCCCCACACAGCAGTGAACCACTCCTGTTTTTAAAACATTACTTGTCAGCTCTGCTTGCAAGAAATACTCCTGGAAAGAAAACAGGGAGAAAGAGAATGATAGCAACACCTCTGCCACACTCTACTTGGAAACCCTCCTAGGCAAGGAGCTGGAAATACTCCAATTCCCAAAATCTTGCTGCTAGATCAAAAACTACCTAATGGCTTCCCTCCTAGACTATAAGTTCTGTGAGACCAAAAAGCACCTTACTTGTTTTGTTACCTGAATGTCCTAGCACTAACTATAGTGCTTGGCTCATAACAGGGGCTCTATAAGTTAATATTTATCAACTGAATAGGTAAATCAACTAATTAAGCCACTTACATTCTTTTTTTTTAGAATTAAAAGGTAAAATATAATTATTCCTGTTATTCTCGGCAAATGACAAATTGAAAAACATCCAGAGGGTACACTGGCTAATGTCCGAGAGCAGTGAATCCATCCTCCTGGCAGGAGGAAGAGGGATTTCCACACAGAGGGGACAGATGAGAAAATGCACTGATGGTCATTTGGTTCAGGTGAGTCAAGGGCCCTGCACTATCCAGATGGATAAGAATTTCTCCGGGACATAGCATACGGAGTTTGCTCATTCATATTTGATAGTCCGTTTGCAATCAGCTTAGCTGTCAGGCCACGCAACCAAGAGGAAATGTGTCATATATGGTAACATCAGTGGGTCTGAATGCAGAGAGCATCACAGAAACCACTGTGCACTTGAGCTGTACAAAGACGTTCTAAGCAGTTTGTCAGCTTCTTCCCCTTGGTGTATGGAAGAGGTAGGTCATCCGCAAAAAAGTACAGAAGAAACACTCTTCAACTAACAAGATGAAGAGTGATGTCAGTGATGTGGGTTCACATGTCATCATTTACACTGAGAACAAACACCAGTCACAACAGCCTATCACTTTGCAGACGAGGCACTCTGGACAAGGACAGCCGGCATCCTCTCCCGAGGCAGCTCAGGGCTTGGCAAGAGGCACATACAGCAGACTATCCCGAGTTCCTTGTTATTCAATAAAATATAAACAGGGTTTTCTAAGAGGCTTTCCATTTCACAGAGTGTCCTACTAACTCATGGCAAGTTTGAGAACCTGATATAATTCCCCTTCTAGAGCACAATGTTCTTCATGACAAGACACTGGGCACAGATGAATAGTGTCCAAACTACCTGTTGAGAGTAATTAAAAAACAATTAGGGGCTGTAAGGGACCATACCCATTACACACGAGCAATAGAGTCCAGAGACATGCAACCCAAAAACCCAGATCACATGTCCTTTCTGCTGTTTAGATGGTTGGCACTGCTTGTTTCATTCAAATGCAGGTCTTTTTGACTAAATTTTTTTATGAGGGTTCCAGGAACTAAGGCCACCAGAGCAATGGCCAACAGCTTAAGGACAGTTTCCCAGGAGAAAAGCGCATCCAGAGAGGTAAGGGTTGACAGGATGGAGCCTGTCTGCACACAGATGAAGTTGTAGGGGATCAAACCTTCCTGCAGGAGGGCCACTTTATCAGGAAAGTAGGAGATCACCAGTTGTTTGCCAAACATACTGGAAAGCAGGTAGCAGCATGTGGCACCCACCGAGGTCAACACACAGCAGAGCAGAAGCCCCAGCCGTGGCCCAAACAAAGCACCAGCTAAAACGTTCAGGAAGCTGGAGCCAGGGATGGCAAAGCCCTGTTTGTAGAGGTAGGCACTGCAGAAGAGCAGGAACACGTAGGCCTGGTGCTCCCTGAGGTAGTCTCGAAGGACCTCGGAGAGCTCCCGCAATTCGGCCAGGTCAGAGGGGAACCACAGTGACCTTCAGCCTCCTCGGCGGAGCCCCGTGTTGGCCCGCCAGGCAGTCGCGTCGACAGCAAGTACAAGGCGAAGGTGCAGCCGACAAAGATCAGGAGCAGGCCGAGCAGGGGGCGCATGTTGGCGCCCGCACTCGGACCCGCCGGGCCGCGGAGGAGAAGCCACTCACATTCTTTAATAACATCTTGGGTGTCTGATACTTCAGAGATACGAGGACCAGTAACAGTGGGGAAACTCCACCACTCAAAGAACTGTGAAGGGCCTACATCAAACTGTGTTATGTACTGGCAGATGGACCACTGCAGCTGCTGCAAATACTATCACAGGGGGAAGTTTTGCTGAACACCTGGCCTTCAGGAATCCAAAGGCACATGATACCTCCCCTCCTCAAATTATGCCAGGCTGTTTTATTGTTTTTAAATTATTATTATAATAATTATTATTATTTTTAAGAGAGAGAGGAATATCGATGTGAGAGAGAAACATTGATCAGCTGCCTCCTGCAGGCCCCCTACTGGGGATCGAGCCCACAACGTGGGCATGTTGCCCTGACTGGGAATCGAACCAGGACATCTCAGTCCATGGGGTGACGCTCAATCCACTGAGCCACACCGGCTGGGCCGGGGCTGTTTTTAAATGCCTTGCTTCCCTACTAGCAGTCAGGTCCTTTGCTTCTAAAGCACTGTACATACAACCCTCACCAACGAGGGTTGATACTGTCATCATCCCCATTTCATAGATGAGGGCAAAAGATCACAGAGCTCAACTGTAGCAGATCAAACCTGGGTGTGCCTAAGTCTAGAGCCTGTGCTCTTAAATCACCAAGCACCAGAGTCTCTCTGTCTCTGTGCCTCCTGTAATCTCTAGATACAAAGCTAAATGACACGGAAGTATATGACTCAACAGCACTTTTGTCACGTAGAAAGTGCTCAGCAATCATGGCTGAATGAATGAGCACATGCATGCCATGACCACACAGCTCCACCACAAATGCCAGTTCTCCCCTCGACACTTCTCTCTTGGGGTTCAGTGTCTCAAAACAACTAGCTACTTTGAGTGTCCCCTGTGCTTTCCTCAATCGATTGTAAAGCAGTTGTTTCACCAGTTTACCACGGCCCTTCACTATCCCCTCCCCAGAGGTGTAGTCAGTGCCTTTACGCCAGTTTCACAGATTGGAAAACAGAAGTACAGGGTGATAAATAGCTTGTCCGCGGTCACAAAGTGCCCAGGTGGAAGGACTGGGATGTGACCCGAGGCAGGCTGATCTCAGGCCTGTGAAGTCAGGCCATGTGCAGCCTCAGAAAGAGAGGGGATGCTGCTTTCATCCATTCGACAAACTCTGAGCTCCAGCCACGAGCTAGGCGCTGTTCCGAGGATATGCCTTTGAGATTTGGATTAAGGATCTAAGACTATGGAAGGCTAAGAAGCTGTCTGTGAACAAGCCTAACTCCATGTCACTTCATAATTCAATAATGTAGTGTTCCCTTCACTTCCTCAAAACTTGAAATAAGCAAAGAAACAAAAAGGCTCCTGGAGATTAGCTAGATTTTCTAAAGGAGGTCAGAGAAAGAGTAGGCTGCCTGCCCTACTCTTGGTTACAGGGGAGACCACATGGTTTATCACTCTATGCAGGGGGAAACAATGGCTCACTTCTGTCCTAAAACCTCCCCATGCATGACTACTGTTCACAACATGCTTTCACATTCTCAATTATTACCCTCCCCTAAAGCCTTTGCGATCCCCTATAGCCTTCCTCTCTCAGCAGAGGGTGGACTTAGCCACTTCTGAAACAGGATGTCTCCAAATTGATTCAAAAGCTATGATGAAGAAAAAGCAGAAGTATCGCTACCGCACACAAGGTCTCTCAGACTTATAAACATCTGTTCACACAAATGGTCATATATCCGGGGCTTCCTCAGATGTTTCCCAACCCAGTCTCAGAAAGGAGGAAGTATTTCTCTAGATTTTGTATTCTTTTCTTTATGGGGAAAATTCATTTACCCCATAAAATGTATGCAGTAACCAACTGATAAGTTTCAAATTAGTTTCAAAAAGCCTACTTGACTCTTATACATAAACTGGTAGGACTCCAAGATATACAGCAATATCTAGAAAAACCACATATCCATTTATCTTTTGCCCAGAAATTAAGATTCTAGAAGTGTATCCCCAAGATGCACTGGCAAGAATAGAAAATGACTTGTGCATAAGAGTATGCATTGTGACATTACTATTAAGAGCAAAAGATTGGGAAGAACCCAGTACCTGTCAGTGAAAAACTGCGTAAATCACGATACATCAACACAGTGAATGGCTACTCAGCTTGTATAAAGAAATGAGAAGGAGCTTCATGAACTGATTGTGATTTCCATGCCAATTTCTCAGTGATAAAGTGAGGTACAGAACATTTATATAGAATGACACCTTTGTGAAAATGGAGAATATAAAAATATATACAATATATACATATTTGCAAAAAGAAATACTGGAGGATAAAACAAAAACTAATTTAGGAATAAGCTATCAGTGACAGAGGGAGAGAAACTCTGAAGGGGACAGGGATAGAATAAGACTTCTGTAAATATATATGTTACAAAATTTTGACATTGAAAACATAAATGTCCTACTCATTCCAAAAAGATAATTAAGTCAAAAAGAAGCCAAGCAGCTCTGGACAGTTTCGCTCAATGGTTAAAATGCTGGCCCGTAGACCAAATGGTCATGGGTTTGATTCCTGGTCAAGATCACATACCTGGGTTGTAGGTTTGATCCCCAGCCCTGGTCTGGGTCATGCGGGAGGCAACCAATTGATGTTTCTCTCTCCCCTTCCCTCCTACTCTATCTAAAATCAATGGGAAAATATCCTCAGATGAGGATTAACAACAACAACAAAAAAAGCCAAGCAATTCCTATAGGGATTATAAACAAATAAATGTATATCTAACTCTAATTAAATTGGGATTCCAACTACAGAGGAAAAAGAACTTATTTCAAGGGCCTTCAGAATATGGTATTTTGACTATACATTCTTAGTGGAATATGGGGATATGGAGCTGTTAGGAAATCTTAAATTCCATTCAGTATTCAGTAATATTGGTTTTATTTTAAAAGTTTGTTACACAATAGACAACTGTAAATAAGCAACTAATAAATATTGTTGGGAACCAAGAGTTTCAGTGTAGGAGAAAGGATTAAAATGTAAAGGAAGTAAAAATCCTTTCATGTTCATCTGAATTGGACTGCAGAACTATAACTGATGAAGTTACAAATGTAAATGGCTTCAGGCTCTGACAATGCAGACACAGTACAGCCTCACGGTAATGAAAGGATGAAGACAGCATGAGCCAAAAATGTCTTTATGATTCACACTGGTGGTGGTGCACACTTGGTTAGAAACTAAAAAAAAAAAGTAAGGAGATCCTCATGGTAAAAGCCAGGACAGCCCTGGCCAGTGTGGCTCAGTTGTTTGGGCATCGTCCCCTGCACCAAAAGGTCGCTGGTTCAATTCCTGGTCAGGGCACATGGCCAGGCTGAGGGTTTGATCCTGGTCAGGGTGCATGTGGGAGGCAACCGATCGATGTTTCTCTCTCATGTCAACGTTTCTCTCTCCCTAAAATCAATAAAAACATATATTTTTTAAAAAGCTAGAACAGTAGTTACTCTCAGGAGGGTGGGGGAGCTGACTGTGAGAGAATGTGGGACAGTTGGCAAATCCAATCCCCTGACCTGGGCAAACATTCACTCACCCTAACTGCAAACTATACATCTGTTTCTATATTTGTGTTACATTTAACAATAAGGAGTTTAAATAAAAAGTTGGGATTAGAATTATCAGTATGAACTCTTGACTTTTCTTTCTTTTCAAAAATATGGATTTCCAGCTCTGTCTACTGAAAAGTTGAACAATCTCAGCGTCAGTAAAAGGAGGTGATCTGATATCACTGCCGTCTGATGTGAGGCAATACAAAGCAAAGTCCCTCCCCGACCCCCAAATAAAGGATTCCTGCCAGAAAAGTTAAGCCTGAATCTGATTAAGCCTCTATGCCCAAATTCCAGTTATAGGAAATCCAGGGTAGGCAATAGTAGAATAAGCTATACAACCACAGAAGAAAGCAAATCTAGAATGTGAAACATTATAAAGGAAAACTGACTCAGCTTCTGCAAAAATCCCAGGAGCATTGAAAAGGAGGGACAAGGTCTTGACTGCTCTAAGTTAAGAATTGTAAGAGACCTAACAACCAAATGTCTGGATCCTGATTTGAACAAACCAATTGTAAAAAGGCATTTTTGAGATCATCATAAAAGTATGATTATTGATTGGGCAGTAGAGCCAGACGGAACAATTATAAATTATATAAGGTGATAATGGTACTTTGGTTATGGAAAAAAGGCCTGTATTTTTTCAAAGATGTGTACTCCAAATATATATAGGGGGTGATTTATATATGGTAATTTAATATGTTATTTTCTAGACTTTGAAATGTCTTGAAATTTTCTTAAATTTCAAGAAAAAGTCTATTTAACCTATGTTGTAAAATAATACCACTGCTTTACAATACCTCCATTAAAAGTTACCAACATGAGCCCTGGACAGTTTGGCTCAGTGGTTAAGACTGCTGGCCTGCAGACCAGAGAGTCCTGGGTTCAGTTCCTGCTAAGGCCACATACCTCGCCCGGTTGGGGTCATGTGGGTGGCAACCAGTCAATGTGTGTCTCTTACATCAATGTTTCTCTCTTTCTCTTCCTCCCTCTCTCCCCCCCACTCTATCTGAAGATAAATACAAAAATGTCCTTGGGTAAGGATAAAAAACAAAACCCAAGAAAAAGTTACCAACATGAGCCCTGGCCAATTTTGCTCAGCGGCTGGAGCGTCGGCCTGCGGTCCAGAGAGACCCGGGTTCAGTTCTCGCTAGGGGCACGTCCCTTGGTTGCAGTTTGTGCCTGGCCCTGGTTGGTACGTGCGGGAGGCAGCCACTCGTTGTGTACCTTTTGCGTTGATGTTTCTCTCTCTCTCTCTCTCTCTCTCTCTTCCTCTCTCTCCCTCCCACTCTATCCGAACAAGGAATGAAAAAATGTCCTCGGGTGAGGATTTAAAAAAAAAAAAGTTACCAACATGAGCCTGGCGTGTGTGGCTCAGTGGACTGAGCGTTATCCCATGGACTGAGAGGTCCCAGTTTGATTCCAGGTCAGGGTACGTGCCCGGGTTATGGGCTTGATTCCCAGTAAGGGGTGGGCAGGAGCAGCCGATGAATGTCTCTCACTCACATCAATATTTCCATCTCTCCCTTCCTCTCTCTCTAAAAAATCAATTAAAAAAAAAAACATAAAAAAAGTTACCAACATGACAGCTTAGCTTTGTTACAGATCTAACCACTAATGTAACACTGTGTCAATGAGAAAACCATACTGCAGGTATACTCAAGATCAAAGTTTATATAAAAAGCTATATGATAGGTAGAGACTATTTGTACCTAATATTATTATTCTACTCCACTCCCTAAAATAAAGAAAAGCCACACTTATCTCTAAACCAGGGGTCAGCAAACTACAACCAGCGGACCAAATCCAGACCAGTGCTTGTTGTAAATAAAGTTTTATTGGGACGCAGCCACACTCATTTATTAATGAATTCCTGTGGCTGCTCTCTTACTACAACAACAGAGCTCAGTAGATACAACAGAGATCCCATGGCCTGCAAAGCCTAACGTATTTACTGTCTAGATCTTTACAGAAAAACTCACAGAGCTTGGTTCTAAGTTGTCTCTAGATACTCCACTGGTGACCCAGGTGCCACTGAGGATGCAACCAACAAAAAAGGCTTCAGTCCAGCCCTGGCCAGTTTTGCTCAGTGGTTAGAGTATTGGCCCATGGACCAGGGAGTTGTGGGTTTGATTCTGGCCAAGGGCAGTGCCTCAGTTGCAGTTTATGTGGGAGGCAATCAATCAATGCTTCTCTCTCACATCGATGTCTCTATTTCTCTGTCTCTCCCCCACCCTGACCCCCACACACACTCTGAAGATAAATGGAAAAATATCCTTGGTGAGGATTTTAAAAAAAGGCTTCAGTCCAAATTCTGCCATGTGAGCCATATACAAGGTGAGAGTCACACAATGAGGCCCAGATGGAGCAAAGCTGCTTGGGGAAACATGCAACTGATTTCAAATTCCAGAAACATTCTTATGGCCAAACAGGCCTAACTAAGAGAGGCTTGGAAGAAAAGTGAGAGGGAAACTTGAAAGAACAAAATTCTAAAAAAAGCAAGGTAATCATTCTCAGGCAAGAAGCTTTTGCTGTTCTGACTGGTTATATAGAGTATTTACCTGCAGTTTCTCCTGTTTACGCTCTGATATTCTCCTCAAAATGTAAAGAGAGCCCTGGCCGGTTTGTCTCAGTGGTTAGAGTGTCGGCCTGTGGTCCAGAGAGACCTGAGTGTGGTTCCCGCTAGGGACACGTACCTCGGTTGCAGTTTGTCCCCGGCCCTGGTTGGGTCGTGTGGGTGGCAACACTCGTAGTGTCCCTTTCATGTCGATGTTTCTCTCTCTCCCTCTCACTCTATCTGAACAAAATATCAAAAAATGTCCTCGGGTGAGGATAAAAAAAAAAAAGTAAAGCGAAATCCTGATTACATGTTTACTGTTTGTCTTTTCACCTACAACGGGGGCTCTGTGAGGGCAGGAATTTCCCTTGCCCACCATTATAGCTCCAGTGCCTAGAAACATGTTTGGCACATATTAGACACTCAATAAACAATCAATTCTGAGTTATCAGAGTTTTTTTCACCACCACTTAACTACTCAGACTGTGAATACCATTTATTAATGGTTACTGTCCCATACCTCCACCCATCCAGAGGTTCAAAGCCACTGGTAGCTTAGATTCTTCAGTTTCACATATTCTCATCTCCTTGACAGAACATGCAACATGGCAATTGGATTAAGTCATCCTGCTATACATAATCTTTTATGTCTTGGAAATAGCTAAGGAAGAAAGAGTATTTATAATAACTTTTATATCTAAGTTTTAGGTTTCAGGTTAAGTATCTTTGGTTCAGGGAAAGACTAAGTGGTAACTGTTAGCTCAAATTTCCGTTCCAGTTTCCAACAAGGTTGAAAAGACTGACTAGCTTACAGTCCAGCACATGAAAAGCAGAAAGGAGGTGGAAATAAGAGAGTGGGGCAAAGGTAGGAGAGTGAATGCTGACACTTTTGTGCATCTCAGCCAGTGACGAGAGGCCAGGTGCCTGAATATGCATTCTCCCCTGGCAAGGACACGTGGTTTTTGGAGAAGTCTACTGGTGCAGTAGCCGTTGCCAGTTCAAAAGGAACTAGGAGTTAGGGTGAGAAAGTTCAAACAGAAAACATTCTTGCCGTTTTTTCCTCTAAGAGTGTTAAGCACTAATTAAGTAAGAGAGAAATTAAGAAATACATGAACACAGTTGGTATTTTTAGAGGAACTCTGAGAACTAGATGAGGAAAGAATTTAGAAAAGAACCTATGGTTTTGTTTCTTTGGTTAAAACACTTCTTGCACTAGTAATAGGCTTCTGTGCACTCAGGAAAGAGCAGCCCTTTTCTTCTAACCCAGGAGAGATTGATCCCTTATTCAAACCCAATACTGTCTGAATGTTGTTAAACTAACTTGTACTACTGGTTCCTCTTACCCCAGCCAAAGTCAAAATGTTCTCCAGTGATCTGGTGATGATGAGACGCTTCTTGGCACGAGTTACTGCAACATACAGTAAATTCCATTCATCCTCAGAAAAGGACTCTAAGGAAAGTTAAGGGAAAAAAATACATCAACTCAAAAGCCTGCTTACAAAAATGTATGTTCTCATCTAAATGTTAACTACCCCCTCCCTAAAAAAACACACACTCAAGATTTGATGGCTATCAATACGAAACTTTCCTACAAACACCAACTCCAAAAATAAACAGAAACCTAATACCCTAGTGGTGTAAAACACTGAGTTTTAGTCAGTGCTACTACTGAGAATTGGTTCACTGGTTATTCAGCCCCTGGGATGTACCCATTACGTATTTTCTGTTCATTCTCCCAGCTTTCCTCACTATGACCCTGAGGGACTGGTGGGGAAACTGAGACTTAAGGAGATAGTGCATTTGGACAAAAAGGCCATGGCTAATCCGGGGTCCAGGAGTTTAACCCAAGTATCTAAAACTGAAGTTCTTTCCTTTTTCTAATGCTCTCTCTTACTCGGGCCAATGCAAAAATGTCTTAGGTAGTCACAGGACAACCAGAGAAGAAAAACAAATTACAAGTCTTTACTGTCTACCTTACATCTCAGTTCTCTCATTTACAATACCTAGCACAATGCTAAAAACTCAAGAAAGAACAGGTGACCTGTGACTATATTATAAGCCACTAACTTGTATACTTTTTTTTTTTTTTATGGTACGTGCCCCTAGCTGGAACCGATCCTGGGACTCTCTGATCCACAGGCCGACACTCAACCGCTGAGCCAAATTGGCCGGGGCGCTAACTTTTATAGTTTTAAGAGATGCATTATATGGTTGTGAATCACTTCTCAAAAACTCTTCCCCCCAAAATATATATGTAAATATGTAATGACCAGCACTCCACTTTAATTTATGTTCAACACCATGTACTTCTCTCATTTTATGAATATAAGAAATTTTTAGTATTTCTATCTCAGCCTGATAATGTATGCTATGCCGCAAATTTCAAATCCACCATTAACTGAGAGCTTTTAATTGTTTGTTTTATTGGTAGGAACACTTCAAATGATTTTAGTCTAAGAATTAAAACCAAAACAATCGAGTTTAATGACGACTTCAATATAAATTTATACAAAAGCAGACAAGTAACGGAGTGCTTACTACATCACCTTTTATGATTTTCTGGCTTCTTTAATAAAAAGGAGAATTAATTTAAAAAAAAAAAAAAAGACCTTGGTGAGCAGGTAAGCTGTATGTTTTAAAGCTTTTATGAGTCTAACGGTAAAAACCCAAAGGTGAAGAGTTGATGCAGGCTAAATAGGGACATTATAAACATAACTGCCCTTAGAAGCAGCCTCAAAAGAGGTGGGCTCTGAAAGTACAGTTTTTCTAAAAAATGTAGTATATGAATAAAAAATTTAAAACTAGGAGGTGCTTTTTTTCCTTCTAGAAGAATCCTTCCAAGAGGCCACACTATCCAACTACAAGCAAGGCATTCCAAGGAAGTGTCCCAAGTCAACTCTTAAATAGAATCCTCAGTGCAACCAGTCTTACCAACTCTGAAGTGGGGCAGCTGTGCAAGGTTGTGCCTGGCACAAGGCACTTTCACAAAATCATCCAAAACATGAACGGTATCAAACTCCAAGCCTTTGGCTTTGTGCACAGTACCCAAAATGTACTCTGGAATAAAAACACAGCGTAGCATTAGATAGGGGCAGGACAGGAAGAGAAACAAAAGAGGGAGAAAATGTACTCTTCTTACTACACCCTTAAAACTCTAACTTCATTTTCCTGCCTGTGTGCAGCTTGGTGGAAAAGGGGGAAAGAGGAAAAATAGCCACAAAAAAAAAAAAAAAGAGAAAATAAAAATATGCAGGGAAAAGTAGAAAATTCGCAGCAGGTAAGTTAGTGCATCTCAGAACCACATTCCAGAGCTCACGGTGGCCTGCCTACCCACTATGCTTCACACATGTAGGGAGAGAGGCCCAGAAGAGGGGTGAATGGCTTGCCCAAAGTCACACGGCAGCAGAGTTGGGACCAGAAAGTCCCATTCTGTGAGCTTGGAGGCAGAACAGAAGTCAAGGGCCCCTGAGGAAAAATGACAGCTCTGTTCCCTTCTCCTAAGCAATGCCAGGGACACAACAAAGCTACCCTTGGTCGCACATGTTATTCACACTGGCAAGAAGCATCAGAAGACCTGAGACTCCTGAGAGAAGCATCTGCTCCTCCTCCTGGTGGAAAGTGAAGAACTAAGTGTTTTCCTTACCTGCAAAGTCCACGTCTTCTATGTGGCATTTTCCTATTCTTTCGACCAGTTCTGGAATCCTGATGTTATACTTTTCAACGACAGCAATCTTTGCTTCAAGCTCCTTATCCTCAGCTGCGGTCACATACCTCTTTAAGCCACTAAAGCCTTCTTTGTGCACCCATCTTTTAATAAACCTGTCTTTAATAACGAGGTTTCCTACGGAGAACACAGACATAGGTTAACGTGATACAGGCTACACTGACATATAGTGGCAGCAGCTACATGTTCCTAACCAACACAATGAATGAATGGTCTTAAGGTTGGGATATCCAGGTTCTAGTCCCGACTACATCACTAATCTACTGTGTGTTCCTGGGCAAGTCAGTGAAATGACCTGTGCTTTAGCCTCTCCATCTCCAAACTGAGGATCAAGAGCCCTACCTTTGAGATCCTTACCTACTTCACAGGGATTTGAAATAGCATAGTAATGAAAAGAAAAGTGCTATAGAAATGTTAGTAACGATCATCTGGGACACATGCAGAAGTTTCAATGTGTCAAGCTGCCCAGGCAGACAGAAAAGATGATGGGGAAGACAGCCTAAGGGGCCAACAATAGAAAAAAATTAAGACTCCTGAGAGAAGGATCTGAAAAAAGTTATCAGTACCTCTAAAAACAGGAGGCCTTAGGCATTCCAGTCGTGATGGGCAAAGAGCAACACTAACTCCACCCTTCTCCAGAATTAAAGAACTCTGACTCAGAACATGCCCATCCTTCTCCCCTCCCTCATCACTGGAGAGCTTCCATCCATGGCACCATGGCTGGGAGGGTACTCACGTTTCTTCTGTTCTTCCTCTGGCTGAAGAAGGATCCAAATATCAATGATTCTGTCCAATCCAAATGATTTAATCCCCTGAAAAAGTTTTTTGGTGGGATTTTGGGGTTTTTTGTTTTTCGTTTTGTTTTGCTTTTGTCTTAACAAAAGTAAACCACATGCAGAGATGTGAGTCTGAAATCAGATGGTTTCTTGGAAATGGATCTCAAATTGCACTCAAAGCATAAGGACAGTAAGCAAGAAATTTCATCAAGCATAAAAGCCCTAGGCTATAATGCAGCCTGAAAATTCAGGATTATCAAATGCTAAGTTTTAGCTACTACCTCAAACTCTTCCTATGTTTTAAAAAAGGCAAGAACTAACTGCAATTTTTTCTTGTCAAAAAAGGACAATTTAAATCATCTACCTTCCAGGAATTAGAAAGTTGTGATGAAGAATAAAATGACACCTGAATACAAAGTATGGGATATGAATACTTACCATATAGAGAATGTCTATAGGTCCAGATTATTATGTTTTAAAAGGTTATTGGTTATTGGTTCCTGGAGGGGAGGGCCTGACTGTGTCACAGTTCAGCCCAACTCTACCAGAAGCATGGACTGAGCACTGGCTGGGGACCCCAGCGTTTGCATGGCACCAGGCCCAGTACAAAAGAAACACACATCGAAGACTCCACATTCCAAGGATTTATCATCATTTTGGGAAGGAACACATAACACATTAACATAAAACAGAGACCAAAATAAGGGAGTATACATCACAATTGGAAACCAGATGTGATCATGTGTAATGATACACGCTACAGGTGATGAGCGGATAAAGAGAGGGGAAGAGAGCAACTTACTTTATATTATGCCCAGCATGGACTCCCCATATACTATTTTCTTACAATAACTAGCTGAATTATGCTATATCTACTACATTAAACATTATAAAGTCATTATAGTAACAACATGAAAGAAAATATGCTTATGTGTTGAGTTAAAATACTTTTTAATGTACACTATAATTACAATAATGTAAAAATACCCATCTAGAAGGACAAAGACAAATAGCAAAAATGAGAATTACATGAAATACTGAGATTACGGTTGAATTTTTTCCTATAACTTGGATATATAATCTTTATAAACGAAAAAAAGAAATCACAATATCTTTTGATTATGATTCACTCAGTATATTTATTGAGTGCCTACACACAGTAGGCCCTCAAAAATATTTTTTCATAAAAGAATGAGTGAATGTCTTTTAGTCATATAACTTTGCTTCAAAGAGTTAAAAATGCCATACGCACGTCACTGAACCCTAAATTCCCCGTGAAACAGGTAAAGGAAAGGCATTACTTTTATCTTAGAGAAGGAGAGAATGAGGCACACAGAAGTTGTGACTTGCCGCAAGCCACACAAAGTTAGTGACAGAACCAGAGCTAGAACCAGGTATTCACACTCTATCCACTGGAGCCCACTGGCCTGTCCCAGCTGTGTTGTCACCTCACTCGTTCTTACACTACTGAACAACACACACTAGAACACTTGCAGGTAGCCAGCAGCCTCATTCGCACAAAGGTGAGAAGGGCATTTGTTTTTTTAAGAGTAGAAGAAGGAAAAGATCCTCAGTTCTTGTTGGGTCTGACTGTACAGGAATATTTGGCTAGCACAATCAGAATGCTCAGGGAGAAAGATTTCAGTCATGGCAGAGATGGTGGAAACTCAAAAACCCAAATGCTTGTTTGCATCACAATCCTAATTAAATTGAACATTTTCTTGACTATCTTTGTCCATAATGTTTCTGTGCATGAAGCAGTCAACAGAAATTTACTCTTACCCCAATCAAATGTATCCTTGCAGGTACTTCTCCATCAGTCACCCGTACAGCCTCATCAAACACATTGGCGTTGGTCCGGGACAACAGGGCCACTTGTCCCTTTGTATCACCTCTAATGTCACCTTTTGGGAGACAGCAGAAACTCTACAGCAAATCCAAATAAAGAGGAAAACTAATCTTTGTAACAAATAAAAGAAGAATAACTGAAAGCCTTACTCTGATGGTTTCCTCCAACCAAAGTCTTTTTCCTTACTCTCTTGCAGACATCCAAGATAGTAGCTCCCACATAAGCTATTTCCACACCAAATCTAAAACTCTGTTGGAAAACAGCAAAACAAAAAGAGTTAATAACCTCTCCGTGAAGTATGTTAGCACATTTCTATCACTGCCAAGTACTGGCCTTGCCAGATTGATCATTCCTGACTCTCCTGCCTGGAAAGCATATCTGGTAATTCCCTAGTGTTAACCCACTTGTAACTGAATAGGAGCTTGACAAAGAACCACCAACTTTATTTCTGTTTCCAGAATAGTATTTTCTATCTTGAAACCTTAGAGTTACCTATTTTTTTTTTTTTATCTCCTGTCCCCAAATCCAGTTCGTCCACTAATTGACAATTCGTCCACCATATTTTCTGTAATATTTTTCTTACCACTGCTGCCATGTCAACTCAGAAACTCAAACTTCATGCCTCACCTACTTTGGTCTCCTTCCCTCCAGTCTCCTCCCACTGCCAAATGCCTCTCTGCACCTCTGCCAGACCAATCTTTCCGACACACTGTCCTCAAGCCATGCCCTTGCTGAAAAAAGGAAGAACAATACAGGAAGAACAGGTGATGCGTACACTTTACAGATTCATCACAGTCTGAACAGCCTATTCCTCTTTATTTCCAAAACCTATAGCAAACTTTTCTTTTAAGCAAATCTACCCGTCGTCTTTCCAAATAAAATCTAACAACTATAAATTATACAAAAGATTAACAGAGGGCAGGGAGAGTTCTTCTCCTTGCCTTTGAGACTCTCTCAACATTAATTTAAAACCACTGCCCTATATAACCAACCACAAGTATAATCTACATTTCCTGAGCATTCCCTGCATTCTTCCTACCTTGATGCATGGCAAAACAATTACCTACCCTTCAAAATTCTGTTTAGCACCCTAATTCCTGGACCACTGCAGCTGGAAAGACACCATTCTTCCCCAAACTCATGATATTCATTGCCTTTTCCATGCATTTCTAACTTAAGGTAATAAAGTATTATGTGCTTTGGTGAACATCAATAATACAGTCTAAGGAAGACAAAACTTTCAACAAATAGTACTTTGTTGCTACAGGATTTTTCTGAGTGAACCATAATCCAAATTATAAAATAAATATCTGTGAGTCCATACTGATATAAATAAATGATTAAATAGATGAGAGTCCTGGTTGGTTTTGCTCAGTGGTTAGAGCATCAGCCTTCAGACCAGAGTTGAGGGTTCAATTCCTGGTCAAGGGCATATGCCTCAGTTGTGGTTTTTATCCCCAATCCCAGTTAGGATCATGTGCGAGGCAACCAATCGATGTGTCTCTCTCACATAGATGTTTCTCTCTCTCCCTCCCTCCCACTCTTTCTTAAAAAATCAATGGAAAAATGTCCTTGGGTGAGAATTAAAAATAATAATAAATAATGGAAGAGAAGCCACAAATTTCCCTTGCAGAGGAATTACAAATAATTTATACAGATACTCCAACACCTATTCTTTGAGTGAGAGCTAAGTATAGTGACTTCCTTCCAAAATATATAATATGGAAAGGGCAGGGGGCAGGGAGAGTAAGTTCAGAGTGCAGAAACCTAACAACTTCAAATTCAACTTCAGCCAGATGATCAAATCAATATCAAGTCATAAATCATATTCCCTCAATATTGTGATAAAAATGACAATTTTTGTTCTGAGATCTTCTTCCCCAAAACCCACCTGTAACATCAGTCTAATCATGATAAAAACAGCAGACAAATTCCAATTCAGACATCCTACAAAACACCTGACCAGTACTCTTCACAACTGTCAAAGTCATCAAAAACAAGGGAAGTCTGAGAAACTATCACAGCCAACAGGAGGCTAAGATATGACAACTACATGGAACGTGATAACCCTCATAAGATCCTGGAACAGCAAAGGACATCAGGCAGAAACTAACGAAACTGGAATAAACTACGGGCTTTATAATAATTCACCAATACTAGTTCATTAATTATGCCAAATGCACCACACTAGTATGTCAATAATAGGGTAAACCAAATGCACAGTATGTGGCAAGTTTCCGTACTATTTTCTCAATTGTTCTGTAAATCTGAAATTAAAAAAAAAAAAAAATCTATTAAAAAAAAGTTACTCTGAGTTGTTGTTACCCTAAATCAATATAGAATACAACAGGATCTTAAAGGAATAAAGTTACAGAGTAGGCTACAGGGTTTTCGATAACAGAACAAAACAGTTCAGATTACACTAGAAGAGTTGGCACATCTCACATCCTTTAACTGGAAGTGTTTCTTAAAAGAAGTGGTTCTTGCACCTCTTGGTCTCAGTACTCTTTACGCTCTTAAAAATTGCTAAGGTCCTGAAGGAGCTTTTATTTATGTGAGTTATATCCAACTCCAGTTACATTAGAAACTTTGAGTCATTAAAAAATAACAATAATAAGCCCATTACATAATAACATAAAGAACATATTTTTAAAAATATATTTTCCAAGATAATCCCTGGCCAGTTTGGCTCAACAGTTAGAGTGTTGGTCTGTGGACTGAAGGGTTGTGGGTTCAATTCACGGTCAAGGGAGGGCACGTACCTGGGTTGCAGGTTTAATCCCCAGCTCTGGTCAGGGTCATGCAGGAGGCAACCAATCGATGTCTCTCTCTCACACAGATGTTTCTCTCTCTCTCTGTGGCCCCTTCCCTTCCACTCTATCTAAAAATCAATGAAGCCCTGGCCGGTTTGGCTCAGCGGGTAGAGCATCAGCCTGCAGTCCCGAGAGACCCAGGTTCGGTTCCCGTTAAGGGCGCGTGTCTTGGTTGCGGTTTGTACCTGGCCCTGGTTGGTCGTGCGGGTGGCAGTCACTTGATGTGTCCCTTTCATGTCGATGTTTCTCTCTCTCCCTCTCTCTCCCTCCCAACTCTACCTGAACAAAATAGAAAAATGTCTTCGGGTGAGAATAAAAAAAAATAATAATAAAATAAATAAATAAAAATCAATGGAAAAGTATCCTTGGGTGAGGATAGAAAAAAAAAAATTTCCAAGACAAAAAATATTTAGCAGAAAAACAGTCACTGTTTTACATTTTTGCAAATCTCTTTAATGCCCAGCTGAGTAGAAGACATCTGGATTCTCAGTTCTGTCTGCATTTTATCTGTGGTGACGTGTTGTTTTGGTCGAAAGACATGAAGAAAATTCAGTCTTACACACATGCATGTTGAAAAGAGGAAAAGAGTTTAATAACCTTTTTGGACAATCAAGGTCACCATGAGTTATCACGTTCACAGTGGCAGACATCAAAATTGTTATTCCACCTGAAACCAAAGACTTTAACTTTGGCAACAAACATTTGTCAGTTGTTTTCCTTCAGTCACAGCTCCTTTCATTCATTTTGGGGAAAATGCCAAAAACACAAATCTGAATAACCAGAGTTGGTCTGTCAGCTGTTCTTTTTTTTTTTCCAAATCCTCACCCAAGGATATTTTCTCCATTTATCTTCAGTCAGAATGGGAGGGAGGGGAAAGGGGGAGGGAGAGAGAGAGAGAGAGAGACACACACACTGACTGACTGCCTCTCAAAAGACCCCAACCAGGGCTGGGGACCAAACCGCAACCAAGAACCGAGGTACATGCCCTTGACCGGAATCGAACCTGTGACTCTTTGGTCCATGGGCCAATGCTTTGACTGCTGAGCCAAAATGGGCAAGGCTGTCAGCTGTTCTTTTGATGACAAATGGTACTATAAGAAAAAAGCTGCCAGTGTAGCTCACAACTCAATCACAACTCAAAAAAGCTCTTCATCAGCCCTGGCCAGTTTGGCTCAGCGGTTAGAGCGTTGGCCTGCAGTCCGGAGAGACCCGGGTTCGGTTCCCGCTAAGGGCATGTACTTCGGTTGCAGTTTGTCCCCGGCCCTGGTTGGTCGTGAGGGTGGCAGCCACTCGATGTGTCCCTTCACGTCGATGTTTCTCTCTCTCTCTCTTCCTCTCTCTCCCTCCCATTCTATCTGTACAAAAAATGGAAAAATATCTTCGGGTGAGGATTTTAAAAAAAAAAAAAAGCTCTTCATCAGACAACCAACACACTTTGGTGTGCAGAAGTACTTTATTCATACTTCCCACTTCATCACCCAGAACATTAAAGAGATGTCCTCAAGGGGCAGCAGTTAATAAAATTAATCATTTCTGCTGTATCAAGTACATTCTTAAGTGAACTGTTTTTGGGGGTTCTGTTGTTGTAGTTTGTTTTTAAACTCTGCAAGTGCACTGCAGTATAGCACACAATGACTAGCTGTAACATTTGGTGCTGATGCCTTGGTTCATGGGAAAGCACTAACATTTTCAGCCACCACTGCTTCACATCATCAGTTAAAACATCAACACAGTGAAAAAGGCAAATTACTATTATGACAACCAACTAGACTTGTAGATCCCCTGAGAACCATAAAGAGTCACTGCTTAGAAGCAAGGATTGGCTACATACTGTGAACCTGACATAAAACCTTGCACAGGTCCTGGCACATGGTGACTATTGAAAAACAAGGGTGGAGAACCATGTGTGCTTATGAGCTTCCGGAGACTCGGAAGGGAAGAGAGCTCTTACCTGTGTGAGATAGAAGACATGCGTGTGAGGGACTGTAAACAGAGCGTTGACTGCACCACGGAAGGTATAGATCTGCTGGTGTGGGTCCCCTACAAAGATCTTCCCACATGGCTGAGACAGAACTATATTCATGATAGCTGCAACCGATAAGAGAGAAAGTAAGAGATCTAAAAGAACGCCAACCTACATCGCAAAAAGAAACCATGTTTCAGACAGAAAGGGATGAAATGCTTTCATGAAACTAAGCTAGGGCACACTGCACAACAGAGTTGCCTTTTCCTACAATATAGACACACTCAATCCAAAAAAATGATTTCATAACACACAAAAGAAACAGTTTCTAATCCTAGGAATATAGATTACTTTTAGTCCTGAACAAATTATTGTCTATAAAAAACCACAAAGGCCCTGGTTGGTTTGGCTCAGTGGTTAGAGTATCGGCCTGTGGACTAAAGGGTCACGGGTTTGATTCCTGGTCAAGGGCACATACCTGGGTTTTAGGTTCGATCCTCAGCCCCAGTTGGGGTCATGCAGGAGGTAACCAATCGATGTGTCTCTCTCATATAGATATTTCTCTCTCTCCCTCCCTCCCTTCCACTCTATGTTAAAAAAAAATTTTTTTAAAGCAATGGAAAAATATCCTTGGGTGAGGATTACCCAAAAAATAATAATAAAATAAATAAGTAAAAAACCACATAGGCAAATATAAAATGAAGTAAATTGTCTTCTCTCTCTAATATTATAACTCAAGGTCACAAAGTAACCCACAAAGTCACACTATTTTCTTTTAGCCACTTGAAAAATATACAACACAAATTGTTCACTTTAAGTTGACAATTTTTTCCCACTTAGCATGAGTCTAGGTCCCTATCGTCTGATGACCTACGCTTAGTCAATATTTAAAGCATAACCTGAAGCAAAACATTTAGAGGAAAATTAATCTGCCTTGGGTGGGGGTAAGAACAACTGCTGAAATCCAAAGTCAAATAATAAAGAATTTCTGAATGATTAAATATCATTTGTGCCTGGCTGGTGTGGCTGAGTGGTTGAGCATCAACCCATGCAGCAGGAGGTCACTGGTTTGATTCCCGGTCAGGACCCATGCCCAGGTTGTGGGCCTGATCCCCAGTGGGGGGCATGCAGGAGGTGGCCAACTGATGTTCTCTCTCATCGATGTTTCTATCTCTCCCTCTCCCTTCCTCTCTCTAAAATCAATAAAGAAAAAAAAAAGTTAAAAAAATATATATCATTTGCTCTTCTTCTTTAGGACAAATTATTAACTTATTTCACATATATGTCCTCTTACATAATCATGATGTTGTTTCTATGTGTTTGAGACTACTGATGTCCTGAATAGTTTATCACCTGGGGTACAGTCCTGGGCCTCATCTACGAAGATGGCATCAAAAGAGGCAAGCAAAGGCTTGCTCAGCTGCCAGAGTTTCAGGTAGCCTAAAAGAAGGGAGTAGCAAGAGTCAGAACTCATAACTAAAGCAGTTACGTTTAACAGACAGCAAGATTTGGAAACTTGTATACCATCGTGAGTCATTTGGTAAGCCTCTTCTTTGCATTCCCCCAGCTTCCGCATGTTGTCCCAAAGGCGGCTTGCTTCAAGAACACTGTTCTAGAAAACAAGTAATTGGTAACTCCTAGTTTAAGACCCTGGAAAAGACAGCACCCTAAAATCAGACTTTCGTTTCTACATACAGAGCAGAGGTCAGAATAAAGGCACCATCATAGCTCAGAGCAGCAGTCACTTCCCTAACCTCCTTCCAGCTGACAGCTCAGTGATAGAATGTTGCTGAGACAGCACAAAATCTGATGGACCAGAAAAGGCTGGGTTATTTCTCTAGATTTATGGCTAACAATTAATTCATAAAAAGAATATCAAATGATAGAAAAAATTTGTTAAAAATTAGAAAAGAGATTCCCAATCTTTAGATTTGTCCAGCAGCCCCAATGACAAGCTCTTACAAGCCCTGGGTAGGTGCCTCACGAGCTAAAGGGGAGGACCAGTGAGAGAATTAAGTGAGATGTCTATGAGAGTTCTTCACAGAAAAGACTTTACAACTCACAGCCATCACGACTGGCTGGCAGTCTCACCCCTCCCCTTTACTTCCTGCCAGCAGTTATGAAGAAATAAAAGACAAATACAATACTGTATCATGTCAACTCTTCTCATTTATCATCAGATCCCTAATACTAAAGATAGTAAAATACTCACCAGTTTTTCACTCTGTTCAACCATGACTCTTTGTCCTTGGTTGTCCTTACACCAAATAGGCACGTGATCAATAGTCAGCTCATCGTCAGCCGAGGCAAAGAAGTTTTCTAAAGTCTTACACACTAGCTTGGCCCTTATGAATCCACCTTTCCCTTCAGCAAGGACAGAATTGACCATGAAAGGTGTTAACTTGAAGAGATTCAATTTCTTCTTTGATTGGTACCTGTAATACATATCAAGAATGAACAGTATTTGGCTTTACTGGCAATGCCAATAAAATGCCTCCCCCCTCCCAACCCCTTTCTCTCCAATGATACCACAAGGTCATTCTCAGTGTCACATATAGGTTAAAAAAAACAGAGAAGTTAAGCCAGGTCCATGTATGATTGGAAATGGCTTAGTTGGCTTTCAAGAATTCTTAATAACCCAAAAGATGAAGTGGCTCATGGCAGACACTAATACTTCAAGGTACGAACCAGACTGTAAGAGGCCCCCAAGAAGGGAACACTCAAAGTTCCCTGAAGCCTTCGCGTCCAAGGGAACATTGGTTCAAAGGCCTCAAGAGACCTGGGCCAAGTGCACCTCAGCTCAGTCTTCTTCCTCTTGCCCCACTCCAAAGAAAGCCTAAAACTGACCAATCATATTGCTGATATCCTGAACTCTAGACAAGTCATTTTGACTTTTTGTGCTTCAATTACAGAAAAATGAGATCCCCCCTCAAGATATAATTTGTAAATAATGTATTTTTATCGGATAAAAGTACAAATCACTAAAGTTATCTTTATATTTGCTGCCTATAAATAGAAATAAAAGCATTACATATTCTTAGTGTCTTTGTGGTGCAAGTCCATATGTGATCATGATGATCACACATGAAAACAGTAATTAGACATAATAACAATGGTGGCAACGTGATGCTCACTTCCGCCCGACGTGTGCATAGGCCATGGAATGAAAGGTTTTACAGGTGACGTTGCTGGGGAAGACTCGCTCAGCCTGCTTTGCGATGCTCTTATTGAATGTCACATAAAGAAACCTGCTCCCAGACCACTTCTCAGCGTACTTGACCAGGGTAGAGGTCTTCCCGGTGCCTGGGGAAGCCAAGAGGAAAGGAAGTGACCCTCTGACCAGGAAAAACTGTTCCAAAAGACGCCTCAATCAGCTTTTATTCACACTTATCTCACCTCTTGCTTGAGACCAGACAGTGACAAGTTTTCCAATACTGATAAAAATGAACAATGGTACAGTGAAAAAAACCCAGCAGATTCAAGCCAGATTAACCTGTGTTGGGATCGAGGCTCTGTCAAGTTTTAGTTGAGTAGTGAAGGGTAAGACACTTGGCCTCAATGAGCTTTAGTGTGCTTTTCAGCCGCGAGTGGGTACCAGTGACCTTGTAGAGTCAGGAAGGATAAAGGTACCAACAGAAGAACTCAATAAATGGTAGCTATGGCTGGCCTAGGACTCATTAATGCTTTGATGGCAAGAACATGCAAATGAGATTCCTTCTGAACTCTCTTGTCTGACCTACCTCTCCACCATTCATTCAATCATTCACTTAGTCAACTGTCATTCATTCAAAAAGTATTTACTGAGCACCTACTACATGATCAGCTGTATGCTAAGTACTGGGAGTATATTAAAAGAAATAAAGCAAGGTTCCTACATTACAATCTAGTTGGAAATAAAATACCAACACAGTTGAAACAATTAGAAAAAAACAAGAGTATCATAACACAATAAAGTGAGAAAGAATATGAATTTGGAAACAAAATAAATCTCACCTGTCAAAGAAAAACAGCACCTCTTTTCCAACCTTACAGGGCTGTTTTGAAGATGAATGACAAAGTGTGGAAGTGCTTATAAAATGTGTGTTGGCTATTCTTACTATATAATCAGGTACCAAGTAGTTAACATGGATAATCAGTTATAGGTAAGAGTTCAGAGATCATATAGGACTCAAATGACTAAAGAAGCCTCCATCAAGAAGAACCAGAAATGATGGGAGTCAACAGAGTAGAGCAAAGAACAAGAGGGAAGGGGAGAAAAAAGAGGAGAGGAGAAGAAAAGGCAGGTTTTTTTGAGAGAAACAGATCCAGCTTTGAATTCTACTTCCATCACTTATTTTCTTATTTAACCTGGGGCAAGTCATTTTTATTTCTCTGAGCTTCAAATCTTAATCTATAAAATAGAGACAACTAGCCAACCTTAGAGAATGTTGATAGGATTAGCACAGTGCCAAGCACATGGCGGGCATTTAAAAAATGGCTGCTGCTGTTGTTTCAGCAGGGTACATAGGCAGAAAAGATGTGGGAAGGAATTCCAGGTAGAGAAAATAGAATGAGCAAAAGTTAAGACAAAAGAATAACCAAGTACTTTAGGAGACTGTAAGGACAAGGAGCTGACTGAGGCAGTAGAACAGTAGACAATACATTTAGAAATGTAGGTTAGAACCAAATGGTGGAAGGGTCTTCTAGACTTCACTCGACAGAAATCAGGAGCTACTGAAACTCTCTGAGAGGAGATTAGCATAACCCTCCAGTCCATAAGTAATCAGTGACAGAGCATATATGATGATAAATGACTGGCTGGATCAATCCCTTTGGTAATTACTCTGCAAACAAATTCATATGAACTATTTGTCTTACCAGGAATGTGGATGCACCCTGGCATGTTAAGAAAAAGCAAGATTTACCTGGCAACTGCTTTTTAGATTATTTCATTGCAGTAGTTCAATAACAGATCAAGGTAAAGATACTCTGGCAAGTAACAGGGAAAGGGGATGTAGTGATAAGAGTCATAAACCCAACTCTCTATTCTAGTACTGGCGAGCTCCCTTACCTGCAAATGCCATAATTTTTACCACCTGGAAAGGTTCCATCTTATGGTTCAGAATCAGCTGTTGTTCATGTGTAAGCTGGATGGTTGTTTTCTTACTATAATCATTACAGAAGAGAAATTAGAGAAATACAAAGGAATTGAAAAGATGAACTGTCATAAAACAAACAGGCAAATCAGATGAACAAAATTTTAACCAAAGAAAAGACCTCCCTTTTGGGTGATAAAAATGTCCTAAAACTGGATTATGATATTGATTGCACACTCAATAAAATTACTAAAAATCACTAATCATACAATTAAAATTGGTGAATTTTATGTAATATAAATTATAACTCAAAGTTGTTAAAACAAAACACCTCTCCTCCTTAAGCATGTAAAAGAGTCAAGAGTAGAACACACATGTGCGCGCGCGCGCACACACACACACACACACCCTCCTATCTATATACACACCCTGGCCAAACCGATGTTTCCTCTTTAACTTCTGTGGCCCGAGTACAGGAATTCTCCTGAAGATACAGGCAATAGAAAATGTTGTAGTGAATCCTAACAGAGAAAAAGCAGATTTAGAGATTATCAAATTAAGTCACAATATGTATCTTATTTTTCTTAGGATGTATTTAGATTCTTTAATATTTCTAAAAAACAAAACAAAACACCTATCACCATTTTATATTAAAAAAAAAAAGAAAGAAAGAAAGAAAAGAATTTAAATATACCTAGAGCTGACCAATGCCCTCCTGGAGAGCACAGTTCTGGCAAAGACACCTGGCTTCAGTGTGCAATGGCAAAAGGAGAGAGACCAGGGTGTGCCCTTTGTGAAACAGGGCATTAGCTGTGACCATAAAAGACAAATAATTACAAAAGTAGCATGAACCAGTTAAATTTACAAATGTAAATTCTGCCCCTAGTGGTGAAATTCTTGTTCAACATCAACATAATGACATCTTATCTTTCTGAGTCTCCACTGCTGCTCTGCTCCCTGCTTCTTGTGAAGTGATATTGGTTTAGAAGCAGGAAGAACATTCTATCTTTTAAGGTCCCAAAGGAAGGGTGCTACCTGGGTAACAAGATATGACTACCAAGAACTAGGAAAAAGACAGCCTCCATGTCACCAAGAGGGACCGAAGATGATACAGTGTTCTCAACAGAGCCAACAATTTAGTGCATTGCTCCCCAGCCCCAGAGTGAGAACAGGTGATCTCCACGCATCAATCTTTTTGATGAAACAAATACTTTTAATAATATATCATTTCAGTCTCTGGTCACATTAAGATTATCTCCCAGAACTTCACCTTGTTAGAGCTTGGAGTTGAGGCCAGTGGTAGCTGATGAACTCACAAGTGTAGGTAGTGCTACATGAGGGACAAGTTTTTCGCTAAAGGGTCTCTGGCCCAGTGAGTGGAGTTTGATAGTAACCTTTGCTATGTGTGGAAAAAAAAATATTATCTCCCAGGTAAAGCAGGAAAAAAATATATAAACACAATATATCATGTCTCCTATTCCTCATCTATGTCCATGTAAACATGCAGATAATTTTTAGGTTCATATTTTCACTTATGGTCATTATTTGTCATTTGTTGTATTTGTCTTGTCTGAATTATGTCATAAAGCTCCTTGCCCCACATCTCAATGCCATGAATTAGAAACAACATAAACTATATTTAATAAATTAAAATATATCTCAGAAACACAGCACATACTCTGACATTTCTGGAGAATAAATGTTCCATCCTTAGATTTCACCACAAATGACTGGGCCACAGCTCACCTGGTGCCCCCATCCCTGTTCCTACTAGGACTCACTAATTCCAGAAAAGGAAGTCCAGAGATCCTTTCTGGAACATCTGCTTCTCTAGGATTGGCTGCATCATTACACAGCCTGTCTTCAGACCAGGGGTCAGGGCCTCCTAGGAGCTGCACTTCATACCTTGAATTTCATTCTAATTTCTTACATGGCCTATAACATCTTTCTTCATCTTGTCACTGCAGATCTCTCATAATCATTTACCAGTCTCCCTCTTATTCACCACATTCTTGTCACTAGACTTTTTCTGTTCTTCGTATATACTAAATTCATTCCTGTCTTTGGGCCCTTACAATTGTCTATTCCTTCTGCTAAACTGCTCTCCCCAAAAATCTTAAAAAGGCCGGCTCCTCCTGACATTCAGGTTTCAATTCAGATGTTACCTCCTCAGAGAAGCTTTTTCTCACCCAATCTAAAATAGTGCTCCTCATCTCCCTTGCCCATCACTCCGATCTTTTCTTTGCACCACTAATCACTCATTTAACACATTTACTTATGCAGTGCCTGTCTCCCCTCACTAGAAGATACAGTCCACATGAGCAAGAATACTGTCCAACTCACAAAGGCATTGCTAGTGCCTGAAAACCCACCTGACATGTAGTAGGTGCTCAAAAATTTGCTGAATGCTCATTTCCCTCTCAAAACCGACCTGTGCATGTCTAATGATGAGTGAAACCATGATAGTCAATCTGAATTAGCAACCCACATTCTACAGCCTTTCTCACACTAAGGTGATAAAACAGACAAGACAACCACAGGTTTATATCCTATCCCAAAAAAGTGAGAAATGGAGGAATCAAATCCTAATGTTTTCTCAGGAAAATGTAGCTACATTTGACTAAAGATGACTCCTTTCAGTAAGACCTCACTTGGGGCTTCAACACCCCTGCATGTAACTGCCTCGCTGATTCATTTTACCAGCAGTTCACAACCTGTGGGTCACAACCACTTTGGGGGTCGAACGACCCTTTCACAAGGGTCACCTAAGACCATCGGAAAACACATATTTCCGATGGTCTTAGGAACCGAGACACCGCTCCTCTATCCATCTCCAGGCGGGTCTGCCCACATGCAGATACGCCTACATACAACATGAGGAACTGTATTAAAGAGTCGTGGCATTAGGAAGGTTGAGAACCACTGTATTTTACAGTTGTATAGCCCTGGCCAGTTTGGCTCAGCGGTACAGTTGTATAGCACTTTATATTTGTAGCGCACTGTCACCTACATCACTACTCTTAAATTTCACAATACCTTCATCTTACAGATAAAGAAACAGAGCAGTGTGAGTTTTATGGCTTGCACAGTGTTAAAGTGGCAGAGTGGGGAATAGTCGCAAGTCTAGGACCTTTCACTATATCAGAGCCTCCGCTCTCCCTCCCACCACTTTACCGATTGCTGATGTTAATTCCCTTCTCCCTCATGGCATAGAGAAGCACAGCGATGCAGTATAAGGTCTCAGTGATGTCTGGCATTGTCACGGTGGAGCTAGGTCTTCTGAGGCAGAAGAGTAGTTGCTGGATGTCATTCACACTGCTGGAGAGGAGAACAATGGCTGCTACCAAAGCCCACACGTTGACACCCTGGAGGGAGATGGACCAGGGAGGGGGAAAAAACAACAACAACAGAACCACAGGTCACAATTAATAAAAATTACATCAAACAACCAGTGAAGAAATCCAAGTTTGGGGTTCAGGTGCCATCTACAGATTGTTTGACCTGAGTGCAAACTTCCCAAATGATGTCTGGGAAACAATGGCAACCTTTTCTTTTGCCCTGGATTCCATTCTTCTTCTTCTTCTTTTTTTTAAAGTAATACATATACTTTATTATTTTTTTTTTTTTTATCCTCACCCGAGGACACCTCTCCATTTTTTGTTCAGGTAGAGTGGGAGGGAGAGAGAGGAACAGAGAGAGAGAGAGAGAAACATCGAAGTGAAAGGAACACATCGAGTGGCTGCCACCCGCACAACCGACCAGGGCCGGGGACAAACTGCAACCGAGGTACGCGCCCTTAGCGGGAACCGAACCCGGGTCTCTCAGGACCGCAGGCCGACGCTCTAACCGCTGAACCAAACCGGCCAGGGCCATATACTTTATTTTTATACATTTTTTTTCTTTATTGACTTTAGGGAGAGAGGGAGGGAGAGGGAGAGAGAGATATAGAAACATCGATGAGAGAGAATATCAACTGGCCACCTCCTGCATGCCCCCCACTGGGGATTTGGCCCACAACCTAGGCATGTGCCCTGAACGGAAATCGAACTGGTGGCCTCTTGGCACATGGGTTGACGCTCAACCACTGAGCCACACCAGCCGGGCAATATATATACTTTAAATACTATGTACATATTATATATATGGTATTTAAAGAATGCCATATATATGGTTTTATATATATATAACACATTTAAAGTTTATTGAGCTTTCAAGAGAGAAGAAGGGAGAGGGAAAGAGAGAGAGAAACACTGATGTGAGAGCACAACATCAATCAGCTGCTTCCTACATGCCCACTACCAGAGTTAGAACCTGGAACCCTGGCATGTGCCCTTGACCAGTAATCAATCCAACACCCTCCTGGTGCATAGGACAATGCCCAACCAATTGAACACACCAGCCAGGGCTGGATTCCTTTCTTCTAATCACTTTGGATTTGAGTTCTTAGTTTAACTAAATAACATTTATAAAGTATTTAACATAGACCCTTGTGTAGAGATGATGCTCTCACCTCCCCACTCCTCCTCTCCAGGTCATTGTGAGCTCTCAGTTCCACAAATACTCAACAGAGTCATAACAGGATCATGGTTAAATGGGTGCCTAACTGGGATGCACAAAAGATGGGGGATACAAAAGAAGACAGCAGTCCTTACGGGGGAAATCAAGACTGACAATTTTTGGGCATTAAGATATTCATTTACTATTTACTTTATGCTATTATTTAACAATTATTATTTATTAAATTAAATACATATGAAATCAATTATTGAAAATTTATTATTATAAACACAGTATGCTCCACTTAGTAATGTCTAAGAAAATGTTCACTAAAATGGAAATAGTCAATAATGGACATCTATCTTTAACATTCTTAACTTTACTACAAGTCTCCCTGTTAAAAAATGCATTTCAAGAGAGGTGCATTCCATGCACCTCTCACTACAACCATCCTGTGAAAGAAAACTCACTCTACCATCATCAACAATCATTTCACTGAAGACAGAAAGAGAAATGCACATGAATGGATTTCCAATCCTCTACTGGTTACAGAATATAGGCTAAGGTTGTATGGAGCTTCCAAAATAAAATTTGAAAATCCATGATCTAAATGAGAAGCCACAAGTCAGGAACCTGAGGACTATTTCCAGCTTCTCATTAACTTATTATGCATCTGCAGCAACACCCTGAATTTCTCTGGTCCTCACATAACCCACGTTGTTGACTGAAATGGGCTGCTCTGAAAAGAAATCCTTATTAACCAAAGCACTCAGAGGTTAGATGACCATCCTCTGTTGAGGATTCCTCAATGGAACAGGACAATGAACTGAATGCTTTTTTTTATCCTCAACCGAGGACATTTTTTGCATTTATCTTCAGATAGAACAGGAGGAAGAGAGGGAGGAAGAGAGAGAGAGAAACATCAATGTGAAAGAGACACATCGAGTGGTTACCACCCATATGACCCCAACTGGGACCAGGGACAAACTGGAACTGAAGTACATGCCTCTAGCAGGAACCGAACCCAGGACTCTGGTCCATGGGCTGATGCTCTAACTGCTGAGCCAAACCAGCCAGGGCAAACAGAATGCTTTTTAAAATTACTTCCAAATTTAAGAATCTACAACAATGTGGCCTTTTACTTCTCTAATGGGACCAATGATAAGATTAAGGCTTCAAAACAGAGATTAAAGGAGATCCAAAATGGCAGTGGGGTGAATGGAAACTACACAGACCGTCTCCCAAAACCAAGCTAGAATTACAACTAAAATAAAGACAAGTCATCTGGAGAAGTCAACTGAAGGGCAGCTGGAGAAAACTTACACGCAGGGACATAAAGAGGACCCCAAACCAAGACTGATAGGAGCAGCAGAAGCGCTAGAGGGCTGGCAGGGTGCCCAAGGGCAGCAGCTGAGGGCTGCCTTAGCTTTGAGCAGTTCCCTCTGAGAAATTGGGGGTTAAAACCCCAGGCTGGCTCCCCAGCACAGAGTGGCGGACCAGGGAAAGGCACCCACATAACATCTGGCTGAAAAAATCACCAGCAGGGAGAGGCACAGAGAACACTGGCACTTCCCTGAAGGGCCAGTGCACTAAATTACAGCTACAGTCACTCACCCTGAGCTCCAGCAGAGGTGTGAGGAGTGTAGGAAAGTAGAAGGTTCATGGCACTGGGAAAAGAGCTGGGAAGGAGGCCATCAGAAGTTCTATGCTGAGAAACTCCCCTACAGGACAGTAGCCATCTTCCTCAAAGAGCCCCTTCCCAGAGGGTTGTAGCCTGGGAGAGAAGCAACTGCCCCTCCCTCAGGAATTTAACACCACCTAGCTGGAGAAGTGCAACCTGAGACTCATTAACAGCCAGAGATATATCTGCTAGCCAGCAGACAGAGAAGAGACTCTGAAATCTTTGAGCTTTGGACCTGGCTCTCAATGTTGGGAGTCCTGGCTCTGGGGTCTGAGCAATGAAGGCTGAGGCCTGAGTTCCTATGCTGAGCCACTCCCCCTATCCTTCAGTAGCCATCTCTGTTAAGTAGCCCCATCAGAACAGCTTTAGCATGGGGGAGAAGCAACTGCATCTCCCTCAGGAACTTAACACCACCTGGCTGGAGAAGTGCAACCTGAGGCTCTTTAACAGCCAAATACTACCAGCAAGCCAGTAGGCAGAAACAAGATTCTGAAGGCTTTGAGGCTTGGGCCTGACTCTCAGTGTTGGGCATCCTGGGAACTGAGCTGTGAAGGCTAAGGCCTGGATCCCTGTGCTGAGCCAATAATAACCCACACTGCAGAAACCATTTTCTTTTTTTTTTTTAATTTTTTTTCTTTATTGATTTTAGAGAGAGAGGAAGGAAGAGGGGGGAAGAGAGAGAGACACATCGATGAGAGGAAACATCAATTGGCCGCCTCCTGCATGCCCCTCACTGGGGATCGGGCCCACAACCTGGGCATGTGCCCTGACCAGGAATCGAACCGGCGACCTCATGGTGCATGGGTTGACGCTCAACCACTGAGCCACATCAGCCAGGCCCATTTTCTTCTTAAAGCAACTTTAGCCTAGGGGAAAGCAATTGCCCTACCCATTGGAAATCCTCTTACCCTGCCCATCTGAGGGATTTTTCATTCAGCTGAGGGCTACAACCTGAGGCTCATTAAGTAACTGAGACTAACAGTCAGCCTGCAAGCAAAAGCTCTGGGATAATGGAATCTTTGCTTGGCCTGCAACTCTACCCAAGAAAGTAAGACTAGACACTGGTGTTTAGTGTGGTCCCTTCCATATTCATCTGAACCCAGCAGAGGGAGCCAAAATCAGCAAAACACCGACACTCACAAGGAAAATCTGGCAGGCTCCAAACACTGCTGAGACAACCAAAACAGTGAAACAAAAACAAATCCCAAATGAAAGAAGAAGAGAATTCTACAGAAGATGGAATAAATGAAATGAAGTTGAGGAAGTTATCAGAAGTAGAGTTCAGAGTAATAATTTTGAGGCAGGTCAACAGCATGAGTACAGATATAGAAACAATGAAAATAAACTAATGGGAAATGAAAAACCAAGTGGAAATGAAGAATGACATAGCAGAAATAAAGAACACACTGGAAGGAATAACCAGCAGATTAGAGGAAGCCGAGGATCAAATTAGTGAATTAGAAGAGAGGATAAAAAAAAAAAAAAATCCCAAGCAGAGAACCAAAAAGAAAAAAAATTAAAAACCAGGAGGACAGCTGTGGCCAGTTTGGCTCAGCAGTTAGAGCATTGCAGGTTCAATTCCAGTCAAGGGCAGGTACCTTGGTTGCAGTTCGTCCCTGACCCTGGTTGGGGTACTGTGGGTGGCAATCAGTAGATGTATCCCTCTCACATCAATGTTTCTCTCTCTCTCCCTCCCTCCCACGCTATCTGAAAATAAATAGAAAGATATCCTTGGTGAGGATTAAAATAAATAAATAAATAAAAACAGGACAGTTTAAGAGAGCTGTGAGACAACATGAAATGTAACAAAATCTACATCATAGGAGTTCCAAAAGAAGAAAATGAGCAAGGGTTAGAGAATATATTTGAAGAAAACTTCCCCAACTTGGTGAAGAAAAAAAGCATACAAGTTCAAGAAGCACAGAGAGCCTCAAGTAAGAGGAACTCAAAGAGGCCCACACCAAGATACATAATAATTAAAATGCCAAAAATTAAAGACAAAGAGAGAATCCTAAAGGCAGCAAGAGATAAGCAACAGGTTACCTACAAAGGAACTCCCCCGGATAAGGCTATCAGCTGACTTCTTAACAGAAATACTACAGGCCAGAAAGGAATGGCAGGAAGTAATCAAGATGATAAAAAACAAGGATCTGAATCCAAGACTACTCTATCCAGCAAGGTTATCATTCAAAATAGAAGGTGAAATAAAAAGGCTAAGGGAATATATTAGCACCAAATCAGTCCTGCAAGAAATGTTAAAAGGACTTCTGTGACAAGCAGAAGAAATAGGAAGAGAAACATAACCATAATAAACAAAAATGGCAATAAATAAGTACATATCAATAATAACCTTAAATGTAAATGGCTTAAATGCTCTGATCAAAAGACAGAGTAGCTGATTAGATAAGAAAGCATCACTCATATATATGTTGTTTACAAGAGACCTACCTCAAAACAAAAGACTCACACAGGTTGAAAAAAAGGGGATAGAAAAAAATTTCCCAAGCAAATGAAAAGGAAAAATAAGCTGGGGTAGCAATACTCATATCTGATAAGATATACTTCAAAATGAAGGCCATAACAAGAGACAAAGAAGGCCACTACATAATACTGAAAGGATCTATCCAACAGGAGGATATACTCTTGGTAAACATATATGAATCCAATATAGGAGCACCAAAATATATTTTAAAACTTCCAGAGGACTTCAGCCCTGGCCGGTTTGGCTCAGCGGTTAGAGCGTCGGCCTGCGGTCCGGAGAGACCCGGGTTCGGTTCCCGCTAAGGGCATGTACCTCAGTTGCAGTTTGTCCCCGGCCCTGGTAGGTCGTGCGGGTGGCAGCCACTCGATGTGTCCCTTTCACGTCGATGTTTCTCTCTCTCTCTCTCCCTCCCACTCTCTCTGTACAAAAAAAATTGGAAAAATGTCCTCAGGTGAGGATAAAAACAAACAAACAAACAAAAAAACCATAAGAAAAAAAAAACTTCCAGAGGACTTCAAAGGAGAAAATGGCAGTAATATAGTCATAGCAAGGGACTTCAACACCCCACTGACACTGGATAGATCCACTAGACCACTGGTTCTCAACCACTGGCATTCCTAATGCCACGACCCTTTAATACAGTTCCTCATGTTGTGGTGACCCCCAACCATAAAATTATTTTCGTTGCTACTTCATAACTGTAATTTTGTTGCTGTTATGTCTTAAGCGACCCGTGAATGGGTTGTTCGACCCCCAGAGGGGTCGTGACCCACAAGTTGAGAATCGCTGCTCTAGACAAAAATTAACAAGAAAATAGACTCTAAATGATGCGCTAGGCCAAATTGATTTAATAGATATTTACAAAGAATTACACCCCAAAATGACAGAATTCACATTCTTCTCAAGTGTACACAAGACATTCTCAAAGACAGACCACATATTAAAACACAAACTAAGTCTCTACAAGTTCAACAAGACTGAAATCATATCAAGCATCTTCTCAGATCACAATCCCATGAAACTAGAAATTAATTACAATAAAAACACTCAAAAACATTCAAACACATGGAGGCTAAATAGCATGTTATTAAACAATGAATGGGTTACCAAGGAGATCAAGGAAGAAATTAAAAGCTTACTGGAAGTAAGTGAAAATCAACACACAGCAATACAAAATCTATGGAACACAACAAAAGCAGTCCTGAGAGGGAAGTTCATAGCACCACAGGCCTATCTCAAGAAACAAGAAAAGTTTCTAATAGACTATCTAACCCTACAACTTAAAGAACTAGGAAGCAAACAAACAAACAAACAAACAAAAATCAGAGAAAGTAGAAGGAAAGAAACAGTAAAGGTCAAAGTGGAAATAAATGACAGTCTAAATAAACAATTCAAAGATCAATGAAACAAAGAGCTAGTTCTTTGAAAAGATAAACAAGATTGATGAACCATTAGCCAAACTCACCAAGAAACAAAGAGAGAGGACCCAAATAAACAAAATTAGAAACGAATAAGGAGAACTAACCACTGACACCACAGAAATACAAAGGACTGTTAAAAAGTACTATGAACAATTACACACCAACAAAGTGGACAACCTATGCAAAATGGAAAAATTTCTAGAATCACACAGTCTCCCAAAACTGAACTGGGAAGAAACAGAAAACTTGAACAGACTAATAACAACGAAGGAAAGGAAAGGTTAATCAATAAACTCCCAGCAAACAAAAGCCTAGGCCTGGACAGCTTCATGGGGCAGTTTCACCAAACATTCAAAGAAGAACTAACACCAATTCTCCTCAAACTATTCCAAAAAATTCAAGAAGAAGGAAGACTTCCAAACTCTTTTTATGAGGCCAGCATAATTCTAATTCCAAAACCAGATAAAGACACTACAAAGAAAGAAAACTTCAGGCAAATCTCCCTGATGAACATAGATGCCAAAATCCTTAACAAAATATTAGCAAATCGGATCCAGCAATACATTTAAAAAATTGTTCACCATTACCAAGTAAGATTCATCCCAGGGATGCAAGGCTGGTACAATATTCTCAAATCAATAAATGTGATATAAATAAAACATATGCTCATGCAAATGAAACCTAAAAACCATATGATCATATCAAAAATTCTGAAAAAGCATTTGACAAAATCCAGCACCCATTTCTGATAAAAATTCTCAGAAAAGTGGGAATAGAGGGATCATATCTCAACATAATAAAGGCCATATATGAAAAACCTACAGCCAATATCAAACTCAATAGGCAAAAACTATAAGCATTTATCTTAAGAACAGGAAGAAGAAAGGGATGCCCACTTTCACCATTCTTATTTAACATAGTACTGGAAGTCTGAGCCACAGCAATTAGACATGAAGAAAAATAAAAGAGATCCAAATTGGAAAAGAGGAAGTGAAACTGTCATTATTCGCAGATGACATGATATTATACATAGAAAACCCTAAAGACTCCATAAAAAATCTACTAGATTTAACCATGAATTCAGCAAAGTAGCAGTATACAAATTAACATCCAGAAATCAATGGCATTCTTATATACCAATAATAAACACAAAGGGACACTAAAAAACAAACAAACAAAAAATCCCATTTACCATTGCAAAAAAAATTAAATAAAATACCAAGGCATAAACTAAACCAAGGAGGTAAAAGACCTGTTCTCAGAAAACTACAGAACATTGAAAAAAGAAATAGAGGCAGATAGCAGATATAAAAAAGTGGAAACATACACCATGTTCATGGATCCGAAAAATCAACATCATTAAAATGTCCATACTACCCAAAGCAATCTACAGATTCAATGCAATCTTCATTAAAGTACCAATGGCATATTTTACATATTAGAACAAATACTCCAAAAGTTTATATGGAAACATAAAAAAAACCCAAATAGCCACAGCTATCTTGAATAAGAAGAACAAAGTGGAAGGGATCACAATACCATATATCAAGTTATATACTACAAAGCCACTGTAATCTGAACAGCCTGGTACTGGCCCAAGAACAGGCATATAGATCAATAGAACAGAACAGAGAATCCAGATATTGACCCAAGACAAAGAAGGCAAGAGCATACAATGGAAAAAAGATAGCCTCTTCAATAAATGGTATTGGGAAAATTGGACAGCTACATGCAAAAAAATGCATCTAGAACACCAACTTACATGATACACAAGAATATCCTCAAAATGGATAAAAGACCTAAATGTAATTTGTGAAACCATAAAAATCCCAGAAGAAAATGTAGGCTGAAGAATCAGACATCATACATAGCGGAATTTTCACTGATACATCACTTAAGGCAAGAGAAACAAGAAAAAAATTAATAAATGGGACTACATCACACTAAAAAACTCTGCACAGCAAAAGAAACCAGCATCAAAATGAAAAGGGAACCCACTTTCTGGGAGAATATATTTGCCAATGATACATCGAATCAGGAGTTAATACCCAAAATGTATAGAGTACTCATACAATGCAACAAAAGGAAGACAAATAATCCATTTAAAATGGGCAGAGGACCTGAATAGACACTTCTCCAAACAGGACACACAAATGGCCAGGAGACACATAAAAAAATGCTCAACATCTCTAATCATCAGGGACATGCAAATTAAAACAACTGTGAGATATCACCTCACACCTGCCAGAATGGTGGCCATCAACAAATCATCAAACAAAAAGTGCTGGTGAGGATGTGGAGAAAAGGGGACTCTAGTACACTGCTGGTGGGAATGCAGACTGGTGCAGCCACTATGGAAAACAATATGGTATTTCCTCAAAAAATTAAAAATGGAACTGCCATTTGACCCAGTGATTCCACTTCTTGGAATATATCCCAAGGAGACTAAAACACCAATCAGGAAGAATATATGCACCTCTATGTTCATAACAGCACTATTTACAATAGCTAAGATCTGGAAACAGCCTATCAGTAGATGAGTGAATAAAAAAGCTGTGGTACATTTACACAATGGAATACTATGCAGCTGTAAGACAGATCTCTTACCCTTTGAGATGACATGGAGGGACCTGGAGAGTATTATGCTAAGCAAAATAAGCCAGTCAGAGAAAGACAAGTACCACATGGTCTCACTTACTTATGGAGCATAATGAACACTAAGCTGTCGACCAAAAGAGATCCAGAGTCATGGAAGTAGGAAATAGACAAACCTCAGAGGGATGGAGGGTGTGGGAGGGGTGGGAAGAGATAAACCAAAGAACTTATATGCATATATGCACAGCCAATCGACACAGACATTAGGTTGGGAAAAGCAGGAGGAGGAGTGGGAGCGGGAAGGAGGGGGTCAATGGGGTAAAAAGGGGGACTACTGTAATACTTTCAACACTAAAAAATAAAAATGAAAAAAACAGTAAAATAAATAAAATTTCTTTTAGTGAAAAAAAATAATAATAACCTTCAGCCAAACGTAATCAGCAATACACTTTTCTTCCTACAAGTAAAAGATGTCACCATCCCCCAAAATTCCCCACAGCCTCTTCACTTACTGCAGCAGCGACATAAAGGTCAGGGAGTTGTTGACGCACACATGCCTCTGCCTCAGGAAGGAGGAGATGATCCCTCAGACTCCACAGTGCCCTTCCAGGATCCACACTTGGGGAGCATTTAGTGGTGGCTGCATAGCTAAAAGACATTTACAGAGGAATCCATGAGAAAGATGATCATAAGTGATAATATATGGGAAAGAACTTCAGAAACTGCCTTCCCCACAGGAGAAAAGCCACTCACCGGATGAGGTTCAGCACACATAGGTCCGACTCTTTCTCAATACCATAGCTCAAAAGGATGCCATCCACTTTGCTGACAGCTTGCTCTTCATTCATTAGGTATCGATGATACAGCTTTTTCCAAGGAATGAACTATATAGTTGAAAAAATACAAAATAACATGCAGGCTATGGCTATTAGAGAGCAGATTAGGCCACAAATATATGGATAACCTCTACCAATTAAAAAGCAATTACAGCCTGGTTGGTGTGGCTCACTGGTTGAGCGTTGACCCATGCACTAAGAAGTTGCCAGTTTGATTCCTGCTCAGGGCCTGCACTGCCCATGCTGTGGGCCCAATCCCCAGTGTAGGCCACACAGGAGGCGGCTAATCGATGTTCTCTCTCATCAATGTTTCTATCTCCCTCTCCCTCTCCTTTCCTCTCTCTCTAAAAATCAATAAAGAAAAAATATTTAAAATAAAAAGCAATTATAACTCACAATTCAAAAGCTGAGCAGATACGGTACAAACATTACACAAATTCTGGTTGAAAACTAAAAGACCAAGTTCTTGGTTTTGGTTTGAACACTAACTTGATATAGAATCTGAGAAAAGCTAGTGCTTCAATGTCCCTGTTGAAATATTAGGACACAATGGCTCAGCGTTTCAATGAGGATTAAATAATATGAAAACTGTGGTATAATAATATTAGACAAAAAAGACACTAAGTCAGAAATTATTGTAAGAGACAAAGGAGATTATATAATAATAAAAGGGTCAAGTCACCAAAAAGATATAACAATTATAAATATATATGTACCAACAACAGAGATCCTACATCTATGTAACAAACACTAATAGAATTGAAGAGAGAAACAGACAGCAACATAATAGCAATAGAGACTTAAATATTCAACTTTCAAGAATGGATAGAATACCTTGTCAGAAGATCAATTAGGAAACAGAGAACTTAAACAACAATAAATTCATTTAACCTTATAGACCTATATAGAATACTCCACGCAACAACAGCAAAATATACAGTCTTCTCAAGTGAACATGAAACATTTTCCAAAATAGATCACATGCTAGGCCACAAAACTGGTCTTAATACATTTTAAAGGATTAAAACTACAGAAAGTATCTTTTTTAATCCCTGTGGAATGGAATTAGAAATGAATAGCAGAACGAAAACAAGAAATTCCATAAATACATGAAAATTAAACAACATACTCTTAAAACAAGTGATGGGTTAAAAGAGAAATTAGAAAATACCTTGAGGCAAATGAAAACAAAAACAGCATACCAAAACTTATGGGATGAAGTGAAAGCAGTGTTAAGAAAGAAGTTTAGTTATAAACAATTACATTAAAAAAGAGAAAAGTTCAAATATATGGTGACAAAAGAAGATCTGACTCTAGGTGGTGGATACACAATGCAATATACAAATGATATACCAAAGAACTGTACACTTGAAACCTATATAATTTTATTAATCAATGTCACTCCAATAAATTTTAATTAAATAATAAAATTAGAATTAACATTGACAATTAAAAAAAGATTACAAATCAACAACTTAACTTTACACCCAAAGTAACAAAAGAGGAGCAAATTAAACCCAAAGCTAGCAAATGGAAGAAAATAATAAAGAGAAGAGCAGAGATAAATAATATAGAGAACAGAAGAAACTTTAAAAATCAATGAAACTAAGAGTTGGTTTTTCTTAAAAAGAATAACAAAATTGACAATCCTTTTGTAGATTAAGAAAAAAGAGAAGACTTCAATAACTGAAATCAGAAATAAAAGAGGAGACCTTACAACTGATATCACAGAAACAAAAAGGATCATAAGAGAATCCTATGAACAACTGTGCATTAACAAATTGAATAACCCTGAAGAAATGGATAAATTCCTAGAAACACAGAACCTACTAAGACTGAATCATGAAAAAATTAAAAAATCTGAACAAATCAATGAGTAAGGAGATTGAAATAGTAATCAAAAACATATCAACAAAGAAAAACCCAAGATCAGATGGCTTCCCTAGAGAATTCTACTAAACATTTTTTTTTTTTTAATCCTCACCCGAGGACATTTTTCCATTTTTTGTTCAGATAGAGTGGGAGGGAGAGAGAGGTAGAGAGAGAGAGAGAAACATCGATGTGAAGGGACACATCGAGTGGCTGCCACCCGCACGACCAACCAGGGCCGGGGACAAACTGCATCCGAGGTACGTGCCCTTAGCGGGAACCGAACCCGGATCTCTCTGTACCGCAGGCCGACGCTCCAACCGCTGAGCCAAACCAGCCAGGGCAGAGAATTCTACTAAACATTTATAGGAGAATTACTATCAATCCTCCTCAGACTCTGAAAAAACTTAGAAGGGTACACTTCCAACTTATTTTACAAGGCCACATAACCTTATACCAAAGCCAGAAAAAGACACTATAAGAAATGAAAAGAGCCCTGCTGATTTGGCTCAGCAGTTAGAGTGTTGGCCTGCTGACCAGAGAGACCCAGGTTCGGTTCCCGCTAAGGGCACATATCTCGGTTGCAGTTTGTCCTGGGTCCTCGCTGAGGTCACGTGGGTGGCAACCAGACGATGTGTCTCTCTCATGTCGATGTTTCTCTCTCTCTCTCCCTCCCTTTCTCTCTCCTCCTCTATCTGAAGATAAATGCAAAAATGTCCTCGGGTGAAAAAAAAGAAAATGCAAGCTATAATAGGTTACTGGTGATAATAAAAATAGCATTATTCTAACATTTCAAGAGTAAGTTTAGGCTAGAATATCTTCCTCAAAATCTTTTCAAGCAGAATGGAGAAAACCCTTATTCCCATCTATGACTATCCGGTTCACATCAGAGAGATCTCAATTTAGTGGGTAGAAATACTATGACACAAAACAGATTTCAGATTGAAAAGCAGAACGGTATTCTTCAGGAAGTAGGAGACAAGACTTCAAGCAGAGAATAGAACAAGAGTGATGTGAAATTTCCTCCAAAATTTTTTGTGCTTAGAAGAAAAATACACTAAGTTTTGATATATCCATCTTGCACTCCTCCCTCAATATTTTTTATTATGTTTTTATTGATTTTTTAGAGAGTGAGGAAGGGAGAGAGAGATAGAAACATCAATGTGAGAGAGAGACATCGATCGGCTGCCTCCTGCATACCCCCTACCAAGGATTGAGCCCAAAACCTGAGCAAGTGCCCTGATCAGTAATCGGACTGGGACCTCTCAGTCCATGGGATGATACTCAATCCGCTGAGTCACACAGGCCCAAATTTTTAAACTTTAATATAATTGAAGGGAGAGTTCATCTCTGTGTCTCTGAATTATTCCCAATGGCTAATCCAAAGGATATATAAGCTAAGCAAAACATTTTCCCAGCACAAAGGTTTGCCTAAGAACCTGAACCTTGCAATGGGAAGAAGTGTAATATAACAATAAAGGGAAGGCCAGGTTGCTGGAATGTGATATGACTAACTGTAGCACTGAAGAGTTCTTTTCTGAGAGCACAGTCTGCTTAGTAGATCAACCTCAAAAATTACTCCAAAGTGATTCACTTGACATAACACTCATTTATAATTTACCTACTACATGTAAAATATCATGAGGAAAATGCAAAAAACATTTATAGGACAACCTGCTAATAATTTAAAGGGGAAGGAAAGCTCTCTAAAGCATACAACAGAATGTGATACGCTTGTAACAGAGGTAAAAACTGCTACAGTAGCACAAGGAAGAAAGAGTGAAACGGAATGATCAGAGTGAAGCCTTGGAGAGGAGGAAGATGTCAACAGGTATGAGGGCCCTGTTACATGGGAATGTGAGTGGACACATTAGACCAACATGTGGAAAGAAATGTGCAGTCTTTGGTTGGAATACAACAAATCATGTGTTGTGGATAGAACACAGGGATATGTTGAGAAGAAGTGAGTAATGAGGCTGGGATAATAAGAAGGGACAAACATAGCTCCAGGGAACTTGGATATTATTCTGGAGGCGAATGGAAACTAAGCACTATAATCAGAAGTATGTATTAAGGAAAGCTATTTAGAGAAAACATCATAGAACTCCAAGTGTTTTACGTACCAGTGGATCATTAATTATCTCCCTCCAAAGGTGGCACACCAAGCACAGATTCCAATAGAGGTCTTCCACGGGGAGGAAAGCAAAAATGTGCCTTAGGACTTCACTGGGCAGGCTGCAGATGTGGCTCTGGGGTTCTTGGCAGGGCAGGGTCCCAAAAAGCCCATAATAAGAGTCAGGAATGGGATCAGGACCCTCGTCCTTCACTTCTTGGCTGGATTCTTCAGGCTCTGCAGAGAGCCATGACAAAGAGCCCTCTGCTTCTTGCCTAGCTTCCCTGGCCTTTGTGCAGGACCAGGGCAAACAATGCTGTGGGGTTTTCTTAGAAACCCCAACCCAATGACTGGTCCCTGTAGCTTGATTCCTCTCATCGTCAAAGGACCGAGAGCGCTTCCTTGCATGCAGAGTGGAGCCTGAAGAGCCCTGCCTTGCTTCTCCATTACCTTCCCGAGGCAGGGCACAACTGCTTTCTCCAGCAAAGATCATTTCACCCTCTGAGTCCTTAGCGCTGTCCTGGTCCACAGAATTGCTTTTAGCCATGTCATTGGTGCACTGCTGCTGGCCAGCTAGGAGGAATTCAGTGATGTATCTTTGACATCCTTGACCTGTACAGAGAACCCAAACAGAGAAACAAGAAATGAATAATGACCAGTGACCCACTGTTGACCCAAATGATACAAACTCATTTCCAATTAAGAGACAAGGATACAGTTGTTATTGGCTAATTGATTATATAAGAGCTCAAGCCAAAAAACAACAACATTTATATTTGGCTCTATCATACAGTAAGACACATATGGAATGAGACAAAGACCAGTCTTCAAATGGCGTGAGGACCAGATTATACTTTGAAATATATACAAACTGAATACATGTATGAACAGACAAAAAGCAAATGACTGCTCACATTCATTCACACATCCACCTACAAAAATTCGTAACTTCTGGCTTGCTCTTACAATAAAAAAATCTAAATTTGTTTTTTTTTGTTTGTTTAAATAGAAAGGAAAATGCTTCAGGTTATCAGGATTCAGTAAAATTCACTCATGTGACAAAGTTAAAACTCTTTTATTTTCATGTCCTCCTGTGAAGCTGACACCTTAATTTATTTTAAAATAAAAAGGAAAGAGTACGAATTCTCTTCATATTATTACAGTGGTACCTAATCTAGTTTATACATTTATTCATAAGCACCTATGATTCTAAGACAAAAATAAAGTGAAAAATGGTGTATATATAGTCCCTGACCTCACAGAATTTAAGGCACTAAGGGGAATCAAAAGATGATTTCACACATCACCATTGCATTTTGAACTCCTATACATTGTTATAAGATGCCAATGAAGTATTTAAACACCTTATCAATGTACAACAAAATACATGGTTACTTTCTGAAATGACTATAACCAGAATTCTCACTTTGGAAAATAAGAGAGTGGAACAAAACTAGGTTTAGGCTTTAATATTTTTTCTATGTTGGGGTCGGGGGGACTGTAACTGTTTCTGGGACAATTTGATAAAAACTCAAAGAGTTTTAAAATAAACAGGCCTGGGTTAAATCTTGATATTTTCTAATTGTGGAATTTAATCACAGAAATATCTATTAAAAGCCTACTACATGCTCCATGCTAGGACTCCCTTTGAAACATACACAGTGAAAAACTCACAACAGAGGATAAGTTGACTTATACACACAAAACAAACAAAGTATAACCATCTAGTTTAAAACTGTCTCATAGCCCTAGCCGGTTACTCAGCTGGTTGGAGTGTCATCCCGTACACCAACAGGTTTTGTGTTCGATTCCTGATCAGGGTACATGCCCAGGTTGCAGGTTTGATCCCCCGTCAGGGCGCCTATGGGAGGCAACAGATCAATGTTTTTCTCTCACATAGATGCTTCTCTCTCTCTGTCTCTCAAATAAAAACATATTCTCGACTAAGGATTAGAAAAAACAACTGCCTCATAAATTGGTCATGGCAATTCCAAAGAGTGATAAACACATAATATTTAAAGACAAACTGATAAGATTTCAGTGGGATTCTAAAATAATATATATCAAAAGTAGAAATTCACTTGGCACATAGAGAGGTAGTAAGAAAACCAAACTGTGAGAAATAGAACTTGCATATAATAAATAAATATCAGGTGATGACAAGTTTGAGCTTGGGTCCATAACAGCAACAGGGAGACATTTCGCTGTAGGTTCTTCAAAGTGGCAGTGACATGACAGGAAATGGTACTCAAGAATATTAATTTGATGTATGTCCCAGCTGACTTGAAAGAAATAAAATCTAAAGGCAAGCAGTCCAGGTCCGAGGTGATCAAGGGTGTGGTCTACCATGAAATCACTGAATGAGGGAATATTTTGGAGAAAAATAATGATTCAGTGGACCTAGTGACAACTGGGCATAGAGGATTACTACAGCGTCAAGAAATCACAATGGTTCTAGACTGAAATAGTGGTGATGTTGGTATGTGTTTTCTACCACATTATAATTAAGCAAGCTAATGGAATTCATTCAGTCACATTTTCCTGGGGCCTTTAGCAACCACTTATAATAGGATGAAATTTTCATGGAAAATGCACAAATAATGAAAAAAGTGTCAAAGTATTGTACCAGGACTACAAAATCACAGTAGCAATACTTACTAGGAAGAGTCAAAGGCCACCCACACTACAGATTGTAAATGCAAGGTACTTTTTTTTAGAAGACATACCCCTAGTCCCTTTTTTTGTTCTGGGTCTAGGATAGAGACCATGGTTCGGGTCTCTGTTTGTCCATCTTTGACTGAAGGGCTGGGTCACAGCCAAGTGACTCCGAGCCAAATGTTGGCAGTCGATGGCTGTAAGATGCTTCCGCTTAAACCGTCTCACTGTTTTGTACCAATATGCAAAAGAAATGAGACACTTGTTAGTTATCACCAATTCTACAAGCAAGCCAGCAAATTATCCTCAATTTTCAGGAATACAGTGACCTTGAACCTCACCAGCCAGCCCTTTTCTTCTTCTCTATATTCCCATAACCTTTCAGTCATTTCATAGTTTCTTAGTATTTCTTCCTCAAAATTTAAGAAAAAAATCCAAAAATAAGATCCTAAAAAGACTTCCTTTTTTTACTTATTATTCTTTCTAGAAGCCCTGATCATAAAATACTCTTTCAAAATGAAGTTGCTACTAATGGATAAGTTGAGATCTGGCATCTTTTCCTGACTTTAACCAGGCATTTATAACCATCAGTTGGTTATAGCTTTTCAAAAATAAACTCATCCATCACTCCCTGTACAATATATACCAGCTTCTCCAAGTCTCAGAAGCAGAATGCAGTAACTAATAAAACAGTCACTGTAAATTCCTAGAGAAGACCACCCTGTCTTCCTCTTAGCCCCCAGTGGATCTCAGTGTTGGGGATAGGACAGGAACGAGGCTCCCCAGTAGAAGAGGACCAAATCCACTTTTATAAGGATCTCAAAGGTGGAAATTTCATATTCTCCCTTAGCAACACATTATAGCTATTGTACCTAAAATTCTGCCTCAAGTCTTTAGTTGCCAAACCTACAATATATCCCTAAATTCAGCTTTTGGAAAGATACAAGACAGAGGATGCCAGCAGATTTGTATAAAAGAGGCACTCATACACACAAAATACACCTAGGAACTTTTTCTGTAAAAAGTACGTAAGAATGGAAGATAGTGGCATAGGTTAACACGGTACTCACCTCCTCCCACAACCACATCAAAATTACAACTAAACTACAGAATAGCCATCCTTCAGAAGCACCTGACATGGAGCTGAATGAAAATCCTACAACTACGAAATTAAAGAAGCCACATCAAGCCCTGGCCGGTTTGGCTCAGCGGTTAGAGCGTCGGCCTGCGGTCCGGAGAGACCCGGGTTTGGTTCCCGCTAAGGGCACGTCCTTCGGTTGCAGTTTGTCCCTGGCCCTGGTTGGTCGTGCGGGTGGCAGCCACTCGATGTGTCCCTTCACGTCGATGTTTCTCTCTCTCTCTCTCCCTTCCTCTCTCTCCCTCCCACTCTATCTGTACAAAAAATGGAAAAATATCCTCGGGTGAGGATAAAAAAAAAAAGAAGCCACATCAAGACTGGTAGGAGGCGCGGGCGGGTGGTCCCACACCCACGTGTTGCAGGAAAAAATCAGGACGGACACCTCGGCTGTGAAGGCCCTCCCTGAGGAATGAGGGGTCTCCCTCCCACACCAGGTCCCCCAGCTCAGGATTTCAGGGCCAGGAAGAGAAGTCCCCATAACTTCTGGCTGTAAAACCAGTGGGAACTGAGGTTTAGGGAGGCTGAGGCTGCTGGAGCCCCAGGCAGCTCCTCTTAAAGGGCCCACACATGGATTTACACGGAGGGAAGGCAGCTTGAAAGGCACCAGAAACATATGGGGAAGAATGAGTTGTTTGGCATTGGGGAGAGGGCTGGAGGGGCAGCTTTCTCCTAGACAGACCTGCTGGTGGAGGCCGTTGTTCCTTTGGTGAGCCCTTCCCCTACAGGGCAGGCAGATGGGCGCCTTATCTGGGACTCCAGCAACCTGGTTTAAACTGTTTGCCCCACCCTGGTGATTCCCTGAGGCCCTGCCCCACCCAACTGTCAGGCCCACCCGAGCTGTTTCCAAAGGCTTTACTTTAGGATTGGCCTGCTTTGGCTACAACTTCGGATTTTCCTAAATGCTTTCAAACAAGCAGCATCTGGCCACAGCTAGCCCCATACCTCTCACTAAGTGACCCCCGGCCTGGCACTAGAAGCAGCCAGTCTTGGTTCACTGCTTGGCTTTACCTGGGTACCTCAAAGCCCAGCACAAGAAGCAGCCATTGGCAGATATCTTTGTAGCTTGTGCCTGGTAGCCCTGGGTAGAACACAGGCAGTGGCTGATCTTGCCCCAGAGCCAGCATACCCAGTGGACAGCTTCAGACCATGTAGAAGCATCACCACCCAACCCACTCCACAAGTGACACACTCAAGGAACGGACTCAGGGAGTACCAAAGCACTACTGAACTAAGTCTTGCTCTGTGTGGTGGGCCCCTGCACAGCTGATCATCCAAGGTAGTCAGAGGTTGGTGGTTGTGGGCACAGCCAGTCCTTGCAGCTTATCAGTCTGAGTAAAACCCTTACACTGACATGCCAACAGCAACCAAGACCAAATTACAACAGAAAAGTATAAAGTCCATACCAGTGGTGCACCTCGAGGGCCCGGCTGGGGTGATCAGGGAGGCTGTGCCACTGGACCCTACAAGACACCTTCTACAACAGGTCACCCTAGGAAGCCTAGGAGACATATCAACTCTACCTAATACATAGAAACAAGCACAGGGAGGCAGCCAAAATGAGGAGACAAAGAAACATGTCCCAAGGAAAGAACAGAACAAAACTCCAGGTAAAGAACTAAATGAAATGGAGATAAGAAATCTAACAGATGCAGAGTTAAAAACACTGCTTATAAGGACAGACCTGCTGGTAGAGGTCATTGTTCCTTTGGTGAGCCCTTCCCCTACAGAACAGGCAGATGGGTGCCTTATCTGGGACTCAAGCAACCTGGTTCAAACTGTTTGCCCCACCCTGGTGATTCCCTGAGGCGCTGCCTCCCCCAACTTTCAGGTCCACCCGAGCTGTTTCCAAAGGCTTTACTTTAGGATTGGCCTGCTTTGGCTCCAACTTCGGATTTTCCTAAATGCTCTCAAACAAACAGCATCTGGCTACAGCTAGCCCCATACCTCTCATTAAGTGACCCATTGAGCTTGAAAGCAGCTCAATGAACTGAGGGAGGGCCTCAAGAGCATAATAAAGGACCAGTCAGAATGAAGAACGCACTAACTGAAATAAAGAATAATTTACAGAGAATCAATAGTAGAGTAGGTGAAGCCAAGGAGCAAACCATCGATTTGGAATATAAGGAAGCACAAAACACTCAATCAGAACAGCAAAAAGAGAAAAGAATTTTTTAAAAATGAGGATAATATAAGGAGCCTGTAGGACAACTTCAAGCATACCAACATTCACATCATGGGAGTGCCAGAAGGAGAAGAGAGAGGGCAAGAAATTGAAAACCTATTTGAAAAAATAATGACAGAAAACTTCCCTAACTTGGTGAAAGAGACATACAAGTCCAGGTAGCACACAGAGTCCCAAACAAGATGAACTCAAAGAAGTCTACACCAAGACACATCATCATCAAATGCAAAAGATTAAAGACAAAGAGAGAATCTTGAAAGCAGCAAGAGAAAAGCAGTTAGTTACCTACAAGAGAGCTCCCATAAGGCTGTCAGCCGATTTCTCAAAAGAAACTTTGCAGGCCAGGAAGAAGTAGCAAGAAATATTTAAAGTGACGAAAAGCAAGGACCTACAACCAAGATTACTCTATCCTGCAAAACTATCATTTAGAATCAATGGCCATGTAAAGAGTTTCCCAGACAAGAAAAAGCTAAAGGAGTTCATCACCACCAAACCAGTATTATATGAAATGTTGATGGGTCTTCTTGAAGAAGAAGATAAAAAAATATGAACCGGAGTGGGAGGGGGGTGGGATGGGAAGGAGGGGTCTGAGGGGAAAAAGGAAAAACACCTGTAACAAAAATAAATTAATAAAAATTGGAGGAAAAATATGAACGATAAAATGGCAATAAATACATTTGAATGTGCAAATAAAATGAGCAAGCAGAACAGAAACAAACTCATAGATACAGAGAACTTTTTGTTGGTTGCCAGATGGGAGGAGAGTTGGGTGAAAAAGATGAAGGTATAGAAAGTACAAATTGGTCGTTAGACTGATGAACTGCAAAGGGAAGGGGAGAGGTGGGGTGGGAAGAGAGAAACCAAAGAACTTCTATGCATATATGCATAACCAATGGACACAGACAATAGTGTGGGGAAGACAGGAGGGGGGCGGGATTGGGGAGGAGGGGGTCAAGGGAGGAAGAAAGAGGGATATCTGTAATACATTCAACAATAAAGATAAGTAAAAAAAAAAGTATGTAAGAATGGCTGTATCCCATCCTTTCCCAGCCAACTAACTATAATAATGATGCCACAGTAAAAACACAGAAGCACTGAAAATAACCACCAACTAGATAGTCATGTCTTAATCATATGCCTAAGAGGGAAAGCAGCTCCAAGAAGGTAAGGAAGTATTCAGTCTTTTCCACTACTGTACCCCTCTGCATGTAGCACAGTGCCAGACACACAGTACGTGGTCAACAAATACCAAAAGAATGGAGGAGGATGAGAAGACAGCAAAGTCAGAGCTAAGATTGGGTGGTTGGTAGAGGAACCCAAGCCCTAGATCACTAGGAACTTGCTGTGGAACTGCTTTTATGTGGAACTTGGCAAAGGCAGACCACCTGCGAGAACTTTCAAATGTAGCACACCAGACAAGGGAACACCAAAAATACCCAAAAGAAACTGTTTGTGAAAAGTACATAATATGGACAAAGGTAGACTTTTTACCCAGGACTCTGGTCCGCAGGCCGACGCTCCAACCATTGAGCCAAACTGGCCAGGGCTCATCTGAATCTTAAATGCTTGTTGAAGATTAAATGTTTGCAGAAATCTAACAAAGGCACAGGAGCAAAAGAGGTCAGGGGAGTGAGTGGAAGAACATGTTCAGCTTCCAGAGTTCCAGTATATTCCAATGTATTCTGGCAAGAAGTCATCATGGAAGGAGATAAGGTTAATAGCTAGGGGGAAGGGCACCTACCTAGACTGGGCAATCTGACTTCTGGGTATTAATACGGCTGCCTATATGGATCATTTGGAATGGTGTTATCTGAGCCATGACTGCTTACCTGGGATGCAGAGCTAACACTTTTACTGTATTTATATGTCAAAATTACTTTTCTGACTTTAGCTAGAGGTCAGAAAAATTAGACTGCATTTTACCTGACTCTCATGTGTCTGAGAGAGGAGGTGCCATGATTTACTAAACTAGAAGCCAGGGGCCCTACATTAACAAATCATTTCACTAAAAGGCTGCGTGGCATAGTCAGATTTGGAGTCAGAAGACCTCCTCCACTTGGTAGCTGTATTAATCACTAAAAGCCTAATTCCCTTATCATTAAAAATGGGGATCATAATAACCTGCCACTCTGAATTCACAGCATAGTTATATGAGGTTCAAATGAGACAATATAGAAGAAAGTACTTAGTAACACCCACATTAAAGCTGACAAAGCCTATCAGCTGAAATGTCAGAAGAATCACATATCAACCACACCATTCTAAATGTCTCCTAAAAGGTGCAGGTTTAATAGCATTAATATTCTTGCAAAATCATATTAAAAATCTATAGCAAAATTCTAACCATCCTTCTATTTTTATTAATATGCTTTAAACCAGAAGTGCAAATATAACGTTACTGAAATAAAGAACCTCAAATGCTACTTTTCCCTCCCCAGAGTCCCCCAAAGCCCTGGGTCTCTCTGATCTGTGGGTCGATGCTCTAACTGCTGAGCCAAACCGGCCAGGGCTTGGCTTCATTTTCCAATCTTCTTTATTGCAATACAATTTACAAAACAAGTCACAGAAAAGTAAAATGGCGTGCTTTAGGTTTGGTGGCAAAGATTATAGTTCCTCTTCTTCCTCAGCACACAGCTAGTCTATACTGTCCTGTCCTGCTTGCAGGTGGATGTTGCCTTGACTGAGCTCTAGCTCAGGAAATGTGAATAAAAGGGATGTGTGCCTCTTCCAGGCCTGGCCCATAGAAACCTCTCATGCTTGTTCCTCCATTCTCTACTCCCCTTCCAGTAAACGGAGGAAGTGGATTCCCCAGGACATCCTTTGAGAAACCCCTTCAAAACAGAAGAGTCTCTAGCAGCTTGGGTCCTTGGATTATAACTTTAAAGAGCGCCACTTCTTCCCCACAACTAACTAACTAACTAACTAACTAACTAGCTAACTATCCATCTCTCTCTCTCTCTTTCTCTCTCTCTCTCTCTCTCTCTCAAGCAGCCTGGACACAACATAGATTGTTATGGGACTGAGAAATGAACTCTGATAGTGAGGCAATTACATGTTTGCCATCTGTTACTGTAGCCAAGCTTACCCTAATCATTCCAGGCTCATGTGTAATCAATACCAAATAGTTTCCTTTCTTCCCCTACCTTTATTAATCATAATTATACCAAAAAGTCCTCTAAAATTTACAGGTTACAGACCTTAATGAATAAGATGAAGATAATAAGTATCTACAATTCCTGGAGGAAAAGGTATTATTTTTTAAATTGAGATAACTCTAGTACAAGGTACCTGACTACAGAGAATACCCATAAGAAGAACCGCAGAGGGCAGTTTTGCTAATCTAGATAACTTAGAGTCCCTAACCTCATTTTGTTAGTTCCCCACAGCCTCTCACTTTTCTCTGAGGGACTCTGTGAAGATCAACAGCAGACATTTTCCCTCTTATGTTTCCTGTGGAGGCATCAGAGGTGCACTGCAATGTAGCTCATATTACAAGGATTCAAGTACTTCACAGGCCACCTGTGAGATCTAAGAGCACAATTTAAACACAGTTAACGGTGTTATTCCTCAACCCCAGTATAATAGAAAATATTCATTCCAGACAGGAAGCACTCTGCTGTAACAGAACTGCCCCATATGTCTCTGAAATACTTGTCATAATTATTTGTATGACTATGTGTTTAATATGTACCATATACAAATTATTATTACTACTAGAGTATATTTTACTATTGTACTATTAACAATTGTTTGTGTGTGTACTGATATGTCTTCTAGCCCTGGACTGAAAACTCTACAGTCTGGTGGGAGGGAAGAAGGAATAACGCATGCAGCCCTAGCACCCACTGCATATTGCTCCATAAACAACTGTAGAACAAATGAACTACATGGCTACGGCACTTCCCTCTAAAGAAGTGTCAGTTGTGCCTTGGCCGATTTGGCTCAGCAGTTAAGAGTGTTGGCCTGTGGTCTGGAGAGACCCGGGTTTGGTTCCCACTAAGGGCACGTACCTCGGTTGCAGTTTGTCCCCGGCCCTGGTTGGGTTGTGTGGGTGGCAACTACCCTTTCGCGCCAATGTTTCTCTCTCTCTTTCTCCCTCCCACTCTATCTGAACAAAATATCAAAATAAAAGTGTCCTCGTGTGAGGATAAAAACAATAAATAAATGTCAGTTGTCTTCGAAACCCTATACTATCTTACAGCTCCTAGCTTTTGAAGTTCTTTCACATATTCTCATTTGATCTTCACACAATCTTACAATGTGCCATGACTAAACTGAAGCTCAGAGAAGACTTGCTTGAAGTGACAACACAGTTTGTAGGTGATGGAATGTAGGTCTTCTGACTCACCAAGTCCAGCATTCTTTCTGCTGTAACATTCTCTCTTCCATATCCGGAAAGATTTAAAGAAGTTTCTAAAAATCTCAGGTTTAATTTCTATGTCACTATTTTTTAATCATTGTGCAATGTCATAACCAAAGATTTAATAACAAGCAAGTATATTGGATAACGTAACTGCAAGGGAAATATCACTAAATACTGTAGACTCAAAATGGAAAAACCTCAAATTTTGTCTGCATTAGTTCTAAAAGATACAAATGCAAAAAGAAAACACTAAAGAGCTAGCTCTTTCCCGAGTACTCACTCTTGGTGCAAAGCAAGATCCCTCCCAGCACTACAACATACTTCTCTACAAACTCAAAAGGTCGAGGCTCCAGGCTCAATTGTCCTTAGGTTCTCTCACACCCTGAAAGCACCTGCTCCTCCCCTGGAGACAGGTTCACTTACTACTACAAACTATGACAGAGGGAGCTTTTCTTTGTCTATGTTTCTCACAGGGAAAAAAGGAATAATTTTTTTTAAAAGAAAAACAAAACAGAAAATAATCATTTTTAAAATAGACTAGAACATATTTTTATATACTTGAAAGGCTTTTTCTACTGTTAATTCATTCCACAACCACTTTTACATATTCACTATGTCCAAAATTCATTAAACACAATTAAGTGCTTCCTCTCTTGGCATCTACTGGTGTCAAATGTTATTTTAGACATGGAAGATACAAAAATAAGTAAGACTTTAGTCTGCCCATAAGGCAGCTACCAAAACAAACACAGATTATTATACATAAAGCAATATAAGTTCCACACAAATGCACACAAGAAAAGTGAACAGTTAGGAAAGTTGGAAAGGCTTTACAAAGAGCTCAGCCTCAAAAAGAGTAGGAGTCAGTATGGCAAAAGAAACAATATGTGCAAAAACACAGAGACACAGCACAGCATTGGTGTGGCAGGAAGTTGGGTTTCATTAGAACAAGAGGTTCATGAATGGGGGACAAAGCTGGAAAAGGAATTTGGGGGAACAGATTATAAAGGTCCTTAAATATATATAACACTAAGGAAATAGGACATTATCAAGTAGGCAATTTAGAGTATCATCTAGCTTTTTAACACTAAGGAAATAGGACATTATCAAGTAGGCAATTCAGAGAATCATCTAGCTTTTAAGGAAGGTCAGTGCACAATCAAATTTACACGTTCAGAACAGTAACTATGGAGGTAGGGTAATCATGAAGATTGTCTGGAAAACAAGGCAAGGCGTGACTTTTCTAACGGAAGCAAGAGTTGGTAAAGGCCTGAGAGCAGCAGCAGAAATAGGTAGCAGGGGAATGTGAAGATCAACAAGTCTTTTCTAACAAGACTGGAAAAGAAAGATGAAATAGAAAGAACAAAGAAAACAGACAGTTCCAGAAAAAAGGTCATTAACTACATTAACGAGTAAAGGAGAAATAGTGCTTTTCTTTTAGTAACTTTTTCTTGGAGTGAGGGGAGGATGAAAGTTTTCGGTTTTGAAAACAGTTGTTTGTTTTGTTTTAAAGTTATCTGTGGAATGCCAGGTAAAGCTCCAGGAGGTACTTTAAAATATGAGACTGATAAAAGATTTGAAGTGCTTTGGTGAGATGTTTCTAACGTTATTCCACAGTCAGAAAGGCAAAGACAGAATCAAATTCAATCTTCAAAAAAAATCAGCCCCGTAAGTACAAAGGGATATAAAAACCAGAGAAAAGATGATGGCAACAAATTGGAAATTAGAGCTCAAAGACCAATACCAATAGTTTGGTGTTTACACACTCACAGTTCACAAAACATGTCAAATGATCATGACATCAATGACCACTGCTGAACACTACATAAACAGCAAATACAACACAGAAGAAAGAAAAGAAGACAAATAAGGAGCAAATCACAATGCCAACATGACTATATGCTAAATGAGACAGCAAAGGCCAGACCACAAACTCCAAAAGCCTACACAAAAGAAATGGGCAGCCCCACTGGAAAATCAGCAAGACCCCAGAATAGCTCCATCCATTAGCTTCCTGTACATCAAGCTTTTGTTCCAGAAAACCACAGGGGCTGTGGACTGATACACATACATTATCATCTAGTTAACTAAAGGGGGAATACAGTTCAAAATAAGTTTCTAAAAAAAGACAAGAAAGACAGAGTTGCATTTGACACCAGTTAAGTAACCAATCATCTGGATTTAAAATAGTTTGTCTGCCGGGCCGGCATGGCCTAGTGGATTGAGCATAGTCCCATGGACTGAGAGGTCCCAATTCAATTCCCGGTCAGGACACATGCCTGAGTTTCCAGCTCAATCCCCAGTGGGGGCCATGCAGGAGATGTATGTTTCTCTCACATCGATGTTTCTATCTCCCTCTCCCTTCTTCTCTCTCTAAAAAAATCAATAAAAACATTAAAACAACAGTTTGTCCTATTGTGCATCCAATGTGTTCCAATTTTGTTTTTGAAAACAGGGAGCCCTGCCAGTGTGGCACAGTGGTTACAGCGTCAGCCCAGACACAGAAGGATCACAGGTTCAATTCCCCATCAAGGGCACGTACCTGAGTTGCAGGTTTGATCCCTGGCCCACATCAATGTTTCTTTCTCTTTCTCTCCACCTCCCCTACCCCTCACCATCCCACCTTCCACTCTCTCTAAAAGTCAATGGAAAAAAATATCCTCAGGTGAGGATTAACAAAATAAATAAATAAATAAATAAAATTAAAATGGGGAAACTGGAAGCATAAGGCAAGAGAAGGTACAGTGATTTGTATCTAGGATGGGAGGAAGCATTAGCAGTAAAAAGTGGGAAGCTACCAGAAGTCTTAACTGCCATTTGCATTGACTCCAACAGCAGCAGAAGGAACAATGTTTGGCATATTCTAAAACTTCACGCATTTCAAACCACTTTTATGCTTCACCCACCCCCCCCCCTTTTTTTTTTTTTGAAGTGGCAAGGGACAATGGAACAGAAACTTTGGCAAAGTTGATATTGAACCTAGTTCTGCCTCCAATGACTGTCCATATTGCTCAGTAAATTAACCAAACTAAATAGAATAGGCTCAATGGTAAAATGGGCTTGTAGAGGTCTTTTTTTTTTTTTTAATTTTATCTCTCTTAATTTATTTTAGCACAGGGCCAGGCACTAGCAGGCACTCACTAAGTGCTACCATCCTTCCTTTAATGGGACTTTATTGTTTATACTTTCAGTGGCAAAATCACTAGCTTTTTTAGGCCTCAATTTCCCCATCTGTAATGATGCCTTAAGGGTTGTTTGCGGATTTATATAAAGTGCTTTGTAAACCATAAAGTTCAATGTAATATGTAAAGCATAATTGTTTCTAGGTCTGGCAAACAGTAGCAATTCCCACTTTCTCTCGAAAGGAACTGAAAACATCAAGAGGTTTAAATGACTAGTACCTAATGTGATCCGGGAAAGAACTCAGCACCTACTCAAATCCCTTCCATCATCCCATATACCTTGCTCAGATCTCAAGATATCCTCCATAAGCTCAAGGCCTTCCCACATCACCTCAATTTTTCTTAAAATTCAGGTGAGGGGAAGGAGGCTACAAATGAAAGAAGCAAAAGGATGCAAAAAAAATGACTCGCCCAAGGTCAAAATACCAGAGTAGAAAAGGAATGCTGGCTTGCCGGCAGCCGAGGCCACGTCCCCAGTGACTGCTACAACCACCAAGAAACGACGAGTTCCCCACTTCCTGGGCACAAGGACGCAGTGTAGGGGCGCTCCTCCGCCTCTAGCGCGCAAGCCCCGCCGCGCCCTTGCAGCTCACCCGGGACAACCCAAGCCCGAGCTCCCCACGCCCCCCGCAGGCCCGCTCCCCCGCCCCCGAAAGACCGAACCCTCGCTCAGGACCCCCAAAGGTTAAATGTTCACAGCGCGGGGCCCCGCCTGAGCTCCCTGCCACATCCGCGGCCTCACGCACTAAGGCGGCTAGGACCAGGGCTCCAGCCAGCGCCGTCGCCTCCCGGCCTGGGCCGCCCAGGCTCCCAGTCCCGGCGTCCCCAGGGCAGCGATAGCCGGAGCAGGCCTCGGACTTCTTCTGACAGCTCCGCCCCGCCGCAGCCGGGAAGAGCCCGCCGCCGGGGCTGACGGACTTCCCCCGCGGCCAATCGGAACGCGCGCGCGGAGGGGGCGCGGCCACGGCTAGCGGCCCCGCCCTGCCCGTGCTTCCGCTAGGGTGAGGAGGCCAGTGGAAAGTTTCCCAGAGTTCCTCCGAGCCCTCGGGAACCCTTGGAGCGGCCGCGCGGGGGCGGAGGCTGGCTACGCTAGAGTAGGGGAGTGGCGGTGGGTCGGGACGTGCGGCGCCTCACCCCAGCCCTGGAAAAGAATACGGGTAGCAGCTCCCAGAGGGCTCCTTCACAGGTATCTCGGGACCCTCACCAGTGCAGGTACAGCGCTGACCCCCTCACCTGGCAGCGGCTCAGAGCCGGGGCGAGCCCTACTGCGCCTGGAGTGAGCGCAGGCCCCGGCGGGCGCCAGACGGCACGTGCCCCTCCCCGCAGGTACGAGGGCAGCTGTCTCACTATCTAATGTTTCACCCTAAATGAAATCAGTGTGGGCGGCAGCCTCCGAACGAGCCACGCGTCCTCGAACAAGACTACGCCTGCACCTGGAGCGCGCATTCACGAAGCGTCAGCCGGCTTAGCGAAGCGCTGTCTGTGCCCCCAGGCGCGGTCCGAAGTGGGAAGCCGACACCCGGCCAGTGTACCTGTACAGTACGCCCGCTGTGCACAGGGCTGGGCAGGGCAGGGCTGGGCTGGGGACTTGAACACCTCGCCTGGCTCCGGTGGCCATGGCGCCGCCCGGGGACCCGAAGTGGCTCTTCAGGCTGGTGCAAGAAGGCCGGCTGTGCGCCCTGAGGGAGGAACTGCAGAGAACCGGGCACGCCAGCTGCCCGGGGCCAGCAGGGGATACCCTGCTGCACTGCGCTGCCCGCCACGGGCATCGGGATATCCTTGCCTATCTGGCCGAGGCCTGGGACATGAACATCGAGGCCGCCAACCGAGACTACAAGCGGCCTCTGCATGAAGCAGCCTCCATGGGCTACCAGGACTGCGTGCGGTACCTGCTGGGTCGAGGAGCTGTGGTCAACTGCCTGAAGAAGGCTGACTGGTAGGTGTCAGGAGTTCAGAAAGACACCCTTCACCCTCTTTTCCGCAGAATCATAGATTCCCATGCATTTTGTCTTCCTCTACAGCATAGCTTCTCAACCTTCCCCATTAGGGCACATTGTGCCTATCCTTGGGGGTCAACTGTCTGGTTCAGGCAGTTGCTTTCTTTTATAAAGTGGGGAACAATACAGAATATGATCAAACAGACAGAGTAATATCAAACAATGAATAGTTTGTACTGCATATAATATGATCCCCAAGAGTTCTTCTAGGAACATCTAGGTAAATGATTACTTCACCAATGGCATTGATTTAACTTTTATTTTGAAATATTTATCAGTTCACAGAAGTTTACAAAGAAAAGTTCAGGGAAGTCCTGTGTGCCCTTCCCTAGACACCCCCAAAGGTAACATCTTATAAGTTACATTACAATAACAGAACTAAGAAATTGACATTGCTACAATCAATATACTTATTCCTATTTCACCATATTATACATACACTCGTGTATATGTGGTGCTCTCTCTGATTTTATGTGTAGCCTTTGTATAACCACCGTCACTGTCAAGATACTCTTGCTCACTCTGAGAGCGCCTCTCCTCCACGGCCTTTGCCCCACTGCTACATACCGCTACCTGGGCTAAGCGCTGTTGGCTGTTCAGAGTTCTGCAGTAGCCAACTCTCTGCTGCTACTAGGCGGGGCCCACCGGCAGCCCCCGCCCCCAACCAGGGCTCGTATAACCCTCCCAGCAACACTACAGCGAGGTGGTGGCAGACCTCAAAGACTGTCCCAATTTCTTTAAGATGATGGAGGGCTTCTTTAACCACGGCTCCAGCATCGTGGAGGACAAGCTGGTGGAGGACCTCAAGAGCCAGGAGAGTGAGGAGTATGCACCATCCTGTGAATCACCAGGTCCCACAACCATGTGCTGAGCCTATCCTTCCCCATCCAGTGCAATGGCTCCTGGGAGGTCATGGAGGGCTACCAAGCCCAGCACAGCCAGCACAGCCAGCACCGCACACCCTACAAGGAGGATATTCCTTATGGCACTGTAAATGAAGTGAAAGCATTGGCTTCTCTGATGACATGTAAGTGTGCAGAGGTTGATGTGGGGTGCCAAAGCTGGTGTTGAGATACTTCTCAAGAACTATACTGATAATTAATTGGAAAAGATCACAAGGAGGTTCACCATGAAACTGGCAAAGGGCTTTATTGGTCCTGGCATTGCTATGCCTGCCCCAGACATGAGCACGAGGAGCAGGAGATGTTCTGGATTTCTAACACCTATGCCAGCACCACAGGGCAATATATTAATGCCCATGCATGTGTCACTGGTAAGCCCATTAGTTAGGGTGGGATCCACGGACAAATCTCTGCTACTGGCCAGGGAGTTTTCCAGGAGATTGAAAACTTCATCAGTGAAGCTTCTTACATGAGCGTTTTAGGAATGACACCAGGATTTGAGGTGAAACATGTTCAGGGATTTGGTAATGTAGGCCTATATGAGATACTTGCATCACTTTGGTGCTAAATATGTTGGTATTGGTGACTCATGGAAGCATATGGAATCCAGATAGTAGTGACCCAAAGGAACTGGAAGACTTCAAAGTGCAATATGGATCAATCTTGGGCTTCCTCAAAGCAAAGCTTTATGAAGGGAGCATTTTAGAGGCCGACTGTGACATACTGACCCCTGCTGCCAGTGAGAAGCAGCTAAGTCCAGTGCACCCAGAATCAAAGCCAAGATCATTGCTAAAGGTGCCAATGGGCCTACAACTCCAGAAGCTAAGATTTTTCCTCAAGAGGAACATAGTTATTCCAGATCTCTATTTGAATGCTGGAGTAGTGACATTATCTTACCTTGAGTGGCTGAAGAACCTAAATCGTGTCAGCTATGGCCATTTGACTTTCAAATATAAAAGGGATTCTACTTGCTCATGTCTGTTCAAGAAAGTTGGAAAGAAAATTTGGAAAGCACAGTGGAACTATTCCTGTTGTGCCCACAGCAGGATATCGGGGGCATCTGAGAAATACATCATGCACTCTGATTTAGTTTATACTATAGAGTGCTTGGCCAGGCAAATCATATGTACAGCCATGAAGTATAACCTGGGACTGGACCTGAGAACAGCTGCCTACCTCAGTGCCACTGAGAAAGTCTTCAAGTTGTACAGGGAAGCTGGTGTGACCTTCACATAGAAGGATTGCAGCTGACTTCTTCACTATCTTCACCTCTTCATCTGTAGACCTGTTGCAAGCTTACGTGTAAGCACAGATCTGTTTCTGTCATTACTTATTAAATAATGGATGCCATTCTCAACTAGTCAATCCAAATCAGCCCCTTAAGTTAGGAAATCGTGTACAAAGCTAAGAGTACAGTGGGCCCTCGTTTATTGCGGTTACTCAGTTCCAGACTCTACCGCGATAAATGAATTTCTGCGAAGTAGGATTTTTTATTTGTATACAGTCATCCCTCGTCACTTCGTGCTTCAACGTTCGCACCTTCACTCTATCACGGTTTTTTCAAATACTATACTATATTGAAAAAACTGCAATAGAGTGGAGCCGCAAACGTTGAGGCGAGTAGTGAAGGATGACTGTAGATGCCAGAGAGCCATTTGGGCGTTTTGCCTCTAAATAAAAAATCCCTTCTGTCTGGCTGTACTGCTGCACAAATGCTTCCCCACGTTCAGATCCATGGCCAGTAAAGCTCCTATAGTCCAAGAGCAGACAGTTGCTTGTTGATTCAGCTCTAGCTGAGTCTAGAACATGCTGTGGCTTTGACATGATTAAGAAGCAAGTGTGTCGCATTTTCAGAAGATAGTGTGGTCCTCAAGTGAGTTATTGGTATTTTATATGAGCAAAATAACTCAATTCTATAGATTGCAAACAAAAATAAAAGGTGTTTCTCTTTATGCATTTTTTCTTTTATAATAAAATAAGTACATGCTACTGTTTAAAAAAAAGAGAGAGAGAGACCCCTAGCTGGTTTGGCTCAGCGGTTAGAGCATCGGCCTGTGGTCTGGAGAGACCTGGGTTCGGTTTCCACTAAGAGCGTGTACCTCGGTTGCAGTTTGTCCCTGGTCCTGGTTGGATCGTGCGGGTGCCGACCACTCGATATGTCTCTTTCATGTCGATGTTTCTCTCTGTCTCTTCCTCTCTCTCCCTCCCACTCTATCTGAGAATGGAAAAATGTCCTCGGGTGAGGATAAGAGAGAGAGAGAGAGACAGCCTGGCCGGTGTGGCTCACTGGTTGAGTGTTGACCCATGCACCAAAAGTTCCCCAGTTCGATTCCCCATCTGGGCACATGCCCAGATTGTGGGCCAGATCCACCGTGGAGGGCATGCAGGAGGTGGCCAATGGATGTTCTCTCTCATCGATGTTTCTATCTTTCTATATAAAATCAATAAAGAAGAAGAATAAAAAAAACATACCTTTACCGCCACACAAACCAATTGCATTTTGTTAAACCAGCATTGTTTTTAATACTCACTGTGTCTGGCTTCTTAGAGGTTATGAATGCTGAAAGATTCATAACTTAATGAAGTTTTTGCCTACAAGTAATTCTTGATGTGATATAAATAAACACAGCAGACAGCCATATACAATAAAGTGCATTTTGCCCTCTGGATAGGGGATAGACCTGCTTGTGTTTTGAGGGTTGCATTTTGGCTGTGACTAAGCACAACACTGATTTTCTTGGGCTGCTGGTAAGTTGATCTGAAGACATATTCAAGAGGCATAGACCTCACTCCTCAAAGGAATTCTTCAGAGAAGGAAACAGCCTCAAAAAACAAAACAAGAGGAATTCCAAAATGGTGGCGGAGTGAATGGAAGCTACACAGACCGTCTCCCAGAACCAAACTGGAATTACAACTATAACACAGACAAATCAACGGGACAAACCAACAGAAAAGCAGCTTGCGAAGATGATATAACCAGGGACACTGACTCGATCCTGGTAGGCTTGCGAAGGCTCGAGACGGGGGCTGGGAGGCCACAGTCAGCAGCTCGGCAGCAGCCTCAGCTGTGAGCAGTGCCCTCAGGTTACACTCCCAAGCGGCTCCACAGCGCAGAGCCAGGACAGAGGCTAAACAAGCCACAGCCACTCACCTTGGGCTTCGGCAGAGGGAGGGCAGACTGGACTGGAGCTGTGTCGGGACACTCAGGATTTGTAGGGCTCTCAGAGCTTTTGCTGAGTGGCAGCCACACAGGACAGTGGCCATATTGCTCCTTCCCAGGGTTCTGGGGAGAGGCAGCAGCCCCTACCTCGGACATCCAACCCTACCCTATAGGCCATTGAAGTGCTGATTGAAGCTCATTAACAACAGCATCTGCCCCACCCTCAGGAAATCCCCTTATGCTGAGCACCTGAGGGAGTTTTTCAATCAACTGACAACCCAAAACTCATCAAGTAACCTCGACTGCTAGCCTCCAGGCAAAAAGCTAGAGGATAACAGTACCTTTCCTGGGCTAGCAACTTCAACCAGGAAAGTAAGACTTGACAGTGGTGTTCAACGTGGGTCCTCCCTCGCTCATCTAAACACAGGAGAGGGAGCCACAAACAGCAGAACACCAACACCCACAGGGAAAACTTGACAGGCTCCAAAGCCCACAGTGATAGCCAAAATGGTGAAACACAGAAACAGAAGCCAAATGAAAGAGCAAGAGACCTCCACCGAAGATGAGATTAATGTGGAGCAATTAGGCATGTTAACAGAGCTAGAATTCAGAGCCATGATCTTGAGGAAGCTGAACAGCATGAGTAAGGACATAGAGACACTGAAAATAAGCCAATTGGAAATTAAAAACCATCAAGAAGAGATAAAAAATGACATATCAGAAATGAAAAACACATTGGAAGGTTTAAAAACCAGAGTAGAGGAAGTTGAGGACCGGATCAGTGAATTAGAAGACAGGGTAGAAAAAATGAACCAGTCAGAAAAAAAAAGGAAAAAACGATTAAAAAACAGGAAGACAGCTTGAGAGAACTGTGGGG